TGGGGAGTGAATCATCGGATGGAAGATCTTCCTCTCTGTCTCTCCTCTCTGTATATCCGCCTTTCCAATAAAAACATAATAAAAATAAATCTTAAAAAAAAAAGAATCTTCTCAGATTCTGTAGCTGAAGAATGAACTTGGTCATCGTCTTTGAATTTTGTGTGGCTCTCCGAAGGGCAGGGATATGCTTTTGTTTTAAGATTTATTTATTTTCTTTTCCGTCAGATTTACAGAGAGGAGAGACAGAAGTTTTCCAACTGCTGGTGCACTCTCTAACTGCCCGCAATGGCCAGAGCTGAACTGACCCGAGGCCAGGGCCAGGAGCCAGGAGTTTCTTCCTGGCCTCCCACAGAGGCACAGGGACCCAAGGACTTGCGCCATTCTCCACTGTTTTTGCAGTCCCTAAGTAGGGAGCCAGATCACAAGCATCACAAATGGGACACAGACTGGTACCCACATGGGATTCCTGCACAACCTGGAGGAGGCTTAGCCTGCTGAGTCACTGCTCCAGCCCCAGGGATGCACCTTGCTTATCTGGTTCTTCCCTTTCTCCCTAGTATTGTGTGCAGTGCCTTGATAAGTCTTGACAAATTCATCTTGAATTTAAGAATCTAGCAGCTACAGAGCAAGAGAGGTTGGGAAAGAAGTTGGTTTTGTGCAGGTGCCCCGGGGGTTGATGACTGGTCCACAGGGGCGGTGTTTAGGCTGCTGTGACAGCCCCCTGACGACCCCTGTGGCACATGGGAGCAGGGATTGTCTCTTTGTCTTGTGTTCAGGCTGTGAGAGCAGAAGGCCACACTCTGGGGAGCTTCGAAATCACACGTAACTGCTGTATGGGGGCTCACCTCCTTCACGAACATCTCCTGCTGGATCCTCACCGGGAGGAAGGGCCAAGGCGGCCCTCTGGGACATCTATGACTTTAATACTTTTAAAAATGATTTTATCCATGTGAGACAGATAGATCAACATGGACAGAAAAGCCTAGGTCTCCCACCTGCTGGCATTCCAAGTGCCTGCAATAGCCGGAGTTGGGTTAGCCAAAGCCAGCAGTCCAGAACCCAGCGTAGGTCCCCACATGGGTAACAGGATGCAATTCCCTGAGCCATCAGCTGCTGCTCCCAGGGTATGCCTCAGCAGCAGCTGGAGTGGGACACAGAGCTGGGACTCAAACCCAGTCTCTTAGACATGGAGTATGGATGCCCTGGGTCTCTAGGAGAGTACCAGGGCATTCCTAACTCCTAAGGGTCCCATCTCCTAACAAGCTGGCCGAGGCAGCGGGGCACAGCCTAGGAGACAAGGCAGTTCCCATGTGATGTGCCCACGTGAGAGCAGGTAAATGTTCTGCTCCATGTCTCAGTGATAATGAAAGTGTGATAAGTCATGTGTTGGCTGTTAAAGTGACCCTGGCCACTTCCAAACACCATCCATCATCAACACAGTTCATGTTGACACACCTGATTTTATGGAGGGACGGGCAGGAAGGAGGAAGAGGGACACGGGTGGCGAGCTGCCCTGGTACACTTCCCGACAGATTACAACAGTGTCGTGGGGTGGAAGGTACTGGAGGGCCATGCCCAGGGAGAGACAGGCAGTGCCATCACAAGAGTGGAGGGCAGTTGTGGTTCCTTGCCACACAGGAAGCAGACAATGAACTTGCTTCTGCTGGCAGCAGGAGCCTTGTGAAATGTGATGAGGCAGGACATGTGTTCAACATGGTAACCTGGGGTGCAGCGTGCCACGGACCACGATCTCTGCTCCAGGCTCCATTCTCAGCACACTCCAGGCATCCTAGTTGGCACAGCACTCCCAGGGAGCCTGCCGGCCACCTCGGGTGTGATGGATGGATGGTGCGAGGGCACAACAGAGGGGAGATGCAAATGATTCCCAGGATGCTGAGAGGTTGGCTTCTGGCGAGGGAACAAAGACTGCTGTTTCTCCCAACATGTCTTGTGGGGCTATGGGACCAGCTCCAAGAGGAACCGGAAGAGGTGATGAGGGGGTGGGCTTCACAGAGTGGAAGGCTTTGGAGAAGTACGTGGAGAAAGGAGTGAGAGGGATGGGACCAGGGCTGGGGATCCAGAGAGGACCGGCTGTCGGAGAGTCACTGACTGAGGGAATTTGAGAGAGAGAAGAGACAGGCTAGAGAGAGAGGGGCCCCGGAGACAGCCCAGCACTGGAACAGGGGAGAGTCTGGCTTTTCAGGGGCACTTTCTCATCTCAACAGGAGGACACAGACTATGGGGACACAGCAGTAGGCTCCTGGGGAGCTAAGGGGCAGGAGGCCCTGCTGGCTTCTCTCATTTCCTGCATGCATAGAAGGGATATTAACTTGACTCAGGTACCCGAGGTCCCAAGTAGCAAAGTTGGCTGAAGGCTGGAAGTACCAGCGACCTTGTTGGGCCCTCCCAACCCCACGTACCCACAGAATCCAAGCAGACAGCATTGCAAATGGATGATGTATATGGGCGTTTTAATTAGAATGTTCTAGAATAAACTTGAAGGCATTGATAAATAGAAATTTCCAGCGGATATGAGACCAGAAAATCCAGTCTGCCCCTGTGATGGGTTGACAGACCGTGCAGTCGCTCAGCAAATCTAATTCTGCTACTGATCAGCGAGGAGTCATCATTTCAACAGCTCGCTGTGGTTGCAACCACGTTCAGCTCCAAGGGCCTTGGTTGTGGAGGTGCAGGTGGCTCTCTGTTCCTGGGGATGGAGGTGACCCCTCCACGTAGGCAGCAACCCCATCCTGCTTGCCAGGTGCCAATGTTGGTGCTTTTCCTACCCTGTGGTCACCTGAGCTAAACACCTGAAATTTGGTGGAAGACAATATTGGCTGATATGGTGGGAGCTTGGGAAGGACTGGATGGTTTATAGGGTACAGTCCCTACAGAGGATTTAGGGTAGCTTCATAAGCAGCAACCTCATAGCCATGGATAAGGTGCTCCCTGCCTCATCGTGCCATGCCTTCTCCACACACCCTCATCTGATGCCAGGTCAACGAGGCGAGTGTGAGCCTGCAAACTCCGGTCCACAGTCCAGTGTCTTCCTTGGAAAATAGCTGTGTTCACGTGTTGAAGAAACAAGCAGCTCAGGAACATAGAAGGACGGGGCAACTGAGGACACCCTTGGAGATGCTGGGTGGGGGGGGGGCGTCTGGGTTGGCCTTAAAAACGAATGCCACCTGCCACACTCTGGGGTGAGTGCTCCTTCACTATTCTCATCCCGCTTTGCCCCTCCATCCCCTGACTTTTCAACTCTGATGGTCTTCCAGAAGTTTGGGTGGGCTTCCCACTGCTCAAGGGCCTGGCAGTTCACAGAGCAGCTCTGCGGCTCCAGGTCCCATGCCTGGAGGCAAGCTGGTGCTGATGCAGGAAAAGGGCCCACACTTCAGCAAGGGCCACCTGAGCTTTCTCCTGTCGGCTGGCCCTGGGCTCAGTGGCAAATTCAAAGCTGGGCAGGCAGCCTAGGGACCACAGGATGGTCTTAAAGGAAGACCTCCTCAAAGGGACAAGAAATGGCATCTTGGGGAAACGTGCCAGTCCCCCACCCCCATCCCAGGGGTTTCATGGTGTTACTTTCCCAGCACTTTCCAACTGGACATTCCATCTTTGGCAGGTAGCAAAACATAGGTGCTCAATAAACCTTTGTTGAAAGCCAAACCAGGTGACTGGGGTGGAAGAAAACTGTCCCTCCGCCCCCGTCAGACTGAGAGTGGCTTTGGACAATAGGACGGTGCCCAAGGAGGGGCGCGACTCTGTGTTCATTCCCACATCTTCAAATCCAGAAGGGTGCCTGGATGGAACGTGTGCTCCGCAGGGTTACGGAACAAATGGATTCTGCTCATCGTGCTGTATGCAGAGCGAAATCAAGTGCAAGGATCTTCTCCACCCAGGCCCAGCTTCTAGCTACCACTCAGTAGGGACCTCGGAAAGCCCACGGAGGCGAAGCAAGGTGGACTTGGGCCCAAGGGGGTCTGGCCCTGGCCTCAGTGGCCCCACAGCAGCGTTTCTCAGCAAGGGTACCCGGTAAGAGCCACTGGGGAGTTTTAAGGAAAGCTCCAAGCGCTCTTCTCCTGTGCCCTCTGACTCATCTGGGCTGGGCCCAGGCCCTGGCATCCACCTTTGAAAAGAAAAAACAAGGCTTCACTAGGGTGGAGAACGGCTGCTGTTCTTGGCCAAATGAACACGCAGGCAATAGTCACCCAGAGAAGCACGGGGTTGGAAAGGGGGCAAGGACGCTCCTTTTGGCCAGCCTTGTGGGGTTGGGAAGGGCCGCCCGGCAGTGGGAAAGTGAGGGTAAGGAAGAAGGCAAGGCGCCGGCTCTGGGGCGGGGGTGGACGAGACCGAGACGGAAGAGATTACACGACGACGGGGAGGGAGGATTCAGCTGGGGAGGGCTGCGGCTGCACCAGAGAGCACTCCACGCTAATCACAGGGAGCGGGTCTGGCGGAAGCGCTGGAGGCTGCCGCCTGGAGAAGGCGGCTAAAAGGAGCTCAGCAGCCCAGGGCTGGGGGCGGTAGGGCGAGCTGCCCGGAGGGACGCCGGGGCGTGGCGCCGCGAGGTTCCTTGGGCAGGAAGCAGCCAGGCAGAGACGGGGGGGGGGGGGTGCCCACAGAAACACGGCAGGCGCACGTGCACAAGCGTGAGCGCACACACGCACACATGAGCACGCAAACGCTCCCCCTCCACCGCCACATGCACCCAAGCCCCAACCCTCGGGGACGTGGGAGGCCAAGCCACTGCCGAACTGCGGTCCGGAGGTCTCTTCCCCGTGCTCCTTCCTACCAAGGCTTGCGCAACAGGCGGCGGCGGGTCCGGCGGGAGCCCGCCGCGCGCTGCCCCTGCGCGGCCCTGCGCGCCCGGGAGGAGGGAGCGGGAAGGGGTGTGTCCCGGCGGCTCTAGACCCGGGAGGCCAGGGCGGGGCGCGGCGCGGGGGCGGGACCGCGCCGCCTATAAAGGCGCCCTCCGCCCGGACATAAACAAACCGCGCCTGGCAGTCCACTTGCACCCCCGGGTGCACGCCCATCACCGCTGCCGCAGTCGCTGCATCTTCGCCGCTCTGCTCAGCTCCCACTGGGCGCCTGAGCACCACTCCTTTCCTTTCTCCCTCTGCCATAGGTAAGCCCGACGCTCTCCTATCAGGACACCACAAGGAAAAGGCAGGGGTCGCCCGCGGGGTGCTGTGTGGACGCCGAGAGCGGACCGCCCTTTGTGGTTCAGTGGGTTCCAGGAGCCAGCTCCCGGGATTTTGGGTGGGGACGCGCGCCGCTGGAATAGGTTTCGATTGGGGGATGATGGGGTGGGGAATCATCACAGTTCACTTTCCCTGTAGCTAGGGCAGTGCGGGATCTGCGGGTCGGGAAGGATGCGGAGTCTGCCGGGAACACCTGGGTCGTATTTCGTGGCGTGGTCTCACGTTCGCAGCTGCAGGTACTGGCCCGGGTGCGCCTGGAATCCCAGGAGGAACCACGGGGAGAGGGGAAGGGAGCCGAAGTCCGCTGAGGGAGAGGTCGCGCGCACGAGGCTGGATAGGGCGGAGAGGGACGCGCGGGTGTGTCCGATTCCCCAGCCGGGCTCCAATGGGTGTGGATGCGAGGGGCGGCTGCCGACGCAGCCCCGAGGCCAGGTCGACTGTGTGTGCGTTGGGGAGGGCCTGGGGTGTGTCACAGCGCGTGCAGTGCGCGCGGGAGTCAATGTCCGCGGACGCCGCCGAGCAGCGTGCGCCCCCCGGAGGTGGAGGTGGCTCCAGTGGTTGGCGCTGTGTTGCGCGCGCTGGGGAGGGTGGCCAGGGCGACAGGGGTCTGGGGATCCTGGTGGCGGGCCCCTGCCTTCTGGAGCCAAGAGTGGCGTCACTTTTGCCTCCGCCCAACCGCCCCCGCTTTCCTTTCCTCCTGGTCTCTGGGCCGGGCCTCCGCTGCTGGCCCTGGGAGAGTACAGCCGGAGTTGGTAGGGTATTCCCTGGAGGAGCTCAGCGTTTTTTCGGTTCAACCTCCAGGAGCCTGGGGCAAGGCAGAGTGGCGCGCTGCGGTCTCAGGGTACAGGTGTGCTCAGCACCTCTGGCCTGCCTGGAGCTGAACTGGGCTTCAGTGGGATCAGTGCCCCACTCCACCGCCCACCTCTGCCCTCTGCCCCTGTGGAGCCCTCCCAGCCGTCAGAGCAGCATCCCTAGGCAGCTGGAAGTGGAAGGTATTCTGCAACAGGTACATGGCTGGGGAGGCCCCGTCCTCACAGGTGTCCCAGGCACCTTGGTAAGGTTTGGCTAAGCTACTGGGGGAGAGCAAAGCTTGGGAGATAAGCCAGTGGCCATGGCAGAAGAATTTGGACCACCGTGGAATGCCCCTTAGCTAGCTAACCTCCCATGTTATCCACAAACGCCCTGTGCTTGCTGGGAAAATGGCAGTTCCCAAGCAGAGGTCCTTGCTGGGCTCCCCACTCCTCATGTGGCATGGAGGGAAGCTAGGGACTGGAAGGCAGGCCCCAGCACCTGCCTGCAAGGGGCTGCCACTGGCTGGTCGGGGAGAGGTACAGGTTGGAGTCCTCGGTGCAGAGTTGGTGGTCCCTGCTGTGGCTGGTGGGTGCGTGTCTGGGAGTGCTGGGGCAGGGAGAGCTTGCTCTTGAGTGGTGGCAAATTTCCCAAGGCGTGGTGCTCAGGTGTCAGAGGTTCCCCTGCCCTGGTGGAATCTCTTGGCCGCGAGGGCCCTTGTCCCCCGACTACAGTGTAAGCCGTACAGGGGTGAGAGGGGCTGAGCCGGCCCTGCCCTGTAACTTGTTACCTGCCCCAGGGCCTGGGATACAGAGGCAGGTCAGATAGGCGTGGGGTGACTGAACACCTCTTTGCCACCTGTCACCTGCTTTCGTCTGAGATCTGGCAGGTAGAGTCCCAAGGAGGGTTAGGTTAGGGGTTGGCTTTTCAGGGAGCCTGGGGCGAGCCTGGGGCAACTCAGTCTGCTGGAAGCCACCAGCACATCCAGGCTTGGGCCTTTGCAGGGGAGCAGCAGCCCCGCCTGGGGCCTCTTCTAGCCGCTTTTTGTTTTACAGATGGGAGCTCAGGTCTGGGCTCAGGAAGGGATGAGCGAGCCTGGGTCTGGATTTCACACTCTGGACCCCCTTCCAGGAGTCTCAGCAGTACAAGGGGCTTCGAGGCCCATTTTGGCCTGTCTGGGAGGAGAGGGTAAGAGAACTTGTCTTCACGGAGTTTCTTATTGTAAGGCAACTTTTGAGGCAGAGGAGGCAGAAGGTGAGCGTGATTTCAGTTTAAATCAGGCGTTTAGAGATGAGCTAAGTCAGGCCGGTGAGGAGGAGATCCGAGCTCTCCGTCCCTGGCAGGTGGTGTGGTTTCACTGGTTTGCTTGCCAGGACGGACACAGAGCTGCAGCATTTGGTCCTTTGTCCCACCCCCTCACCCCCTGCGCAGTGTGCATTGAAACTGCTGGCCCTAGCTTGCCCTAGCTTGGACCAGAAAGAAAGCTGCCATTGTGTTTTCCTGATGTTTTCTTCCTGGAGACTCAACTCCAGAGAATCCTGTCCAAGACTTGACTCCAAGGTCCTGGGCCTGGGAAACGGGCAATGTGATGACTCAGCACTGAGGGCCGGCAGGGGGCAGGGCTGACTCAGCAGGGAAGTGGTTGGACTGCAGCCTGGGAGCTGGCAGGCAGGAGGGCCGGACCCGTTGGTGGTCTCTGGAGGACACTTGCTGCCTCCTCATCTATTGGGTCCTTGTAACAACTCTGCCTGGACCCTCTGTGTTCCATTGAGTGGATGAGGAAAGCTGAGGCCTGCAGAGTTTAAGGACTTGCCTGTAGCCACAGGGCTGCAAATTGGGGAGCCAAGCTTGGAACCCAGAGAGTGAGGGGGGCTGCATGTGCTCTCCCAGGAACCTCGGCTTGGACAAAGAGGGCAGAGCCCTGTGCCTCTATTTCCACTTCTGCGCAGTGAGAGTGATGGGACCATCTCATCAGGTGTGCAGGCAGGAGGCTGCGTCACAAAGTTGTGGAAAATGGAATTGAAAGGAAACTTTTTGGTGTCTGATGCTTCCATCTGAAACCATAGGGAGTCCCAAAGAACTCCCACACCATTCATGTTATGAAAAACCATGCCTGGATTTTGAAATTTTTGCACCTTTTACTTTCTGTATTTAAAGATTTTTTTTTCCTTTTTTTTATTTGAAAGTCAGAGTGAGAGAGAGAAAGAGAGAGAGAGATCCTCTGTCTGCTGGATTGCTTCTCAGGTGACTTCAGTGGCCAGTGCTGGGCGTGGCCCGAGCCAGGTGCCAGGAGCTCATCCCATGTGGCTGGCCGGGATCCAAACACTTGGGCCACCTTGCCGGCTTTTCGCAGGCCATCAGCAGGAATGGGGTCCGAGGAGAACAGGCACGGATGTGGACCGTTGTGTATGGGGTGCTAACATTGCAGGTGGCGGCTGTTAGGGCTGGCTCCTGTTAACCGAGTGAGCCCATGTGAGCAAGAATAGGGCTCTGTATGTAGGACATGCCATGGGGTGTTTGTTTTCTCATCACCTACAAAACTGTCCTCAGGGCTTCTTTCTGATCCTCAGTTTGGGGCCTTCGCAGCCCTTGGAAAGTGCCTGCTGCAAGTGCTGGACCCTGCACGTGGTTTCTGTGGTTGTTCCAGAGAGCTAAGTGTGTGGCCCAAGCTCACTCTGAAGGCAGCTGGGCTCAAGCCCTCTGCTTTGGACTGGCTGGGGAGAGGGGACAGGAGGTGGCTGTGTCTGCTTCACGTTGGTGGCTGCTGGGATCAGCTCTCTCCTGGCCGGCATGCCTGCTGACCCAGTGCCTCAGCTCATCCAGCATTCTTCCTATTTTACAGGTGAAGCCAGGGCCGGGGACACACCTGATCGGTTTGTGCCAAACCTGGCCTTCTCTAAACTCCAGCGTTGCCCTTTAAGAGCCCTGCAGGTCCCATCAGAGCCAGCTGAATTTTCCTGGTTCACATTCATGGCCTGAGGCCTCCCTGGCCACCTGCAGCCTGCTTATCTGGCTTGTTGGGAGGGGAGGGGCTCTGCGGAGGAGGTGGGGACACTGAGGCCCCGGGTGGGGAGGCAGACCCAAAGTGGTGTCTGGGTGGAGTGGAGTGAAGCTGCCCAGACTGGGCCCACTGCACAGCACAGGAACAGCTTGGAAAGCGAGGGCCACAGACAGGAAGTGAGATCTCCAAACAATTTTCTTTCATCTGCCTGGATTCTTTGAGTTTCCCCGATAACATTTATTTATTTATTTTTAAAAATTTAAACAGATTTATTTATTTTACTTGGAAGTGAGAGTTACAGAGAGGGAAGAGACAGAAAAAGATCTTCCATCTGCTGGTTCATGCCCCAGATGGTCACAGTGGCCCAGTCTGGGCTGCTACGGAGCAGGGAGCAGGAGCCCATTCAGGCCTCACACTTGCTTGCAGCGCCCAAGGCATTGAGTCATCCGCTATTGCTTTCTCAGGTATGTTAGCAGGGAGCAGGATCGGAAATGGAGCAGCCAGAGCTGGAAGCCTGCCCACAAGGGGGCGCTGACACTGCAGGCAGTGGCTTTGTTGGCATCTATGATGGCGGCTGCTCTCCTTAAATCAAATCTACAGGACAGCAGGCCCGGGGTTCCTTGCTGCCTGGGAGGCTGGACTGGGCGGCCCTTGTCCTCACTCATCCCTCAGTACCTTCAAACCTGGCTGGCTAATACCAGCTCCCGTCTGTGTGGCTTGAGCTCATGTTCTCAGACCATCCTGTGTCTCTCAGGCCTGGCCCACAGAGTCTACAACCAGCACCTGCCCCTGGGCCTTGGCTGGTCTTCCTTGCAGTTGTCTCCACCTTGCCAAGCCCCACTGAGAATCTGCAGGAAGGTCTGACCCCTCGAAACGCAGGGGTTGGGATGGTGGGGCATTCCCCACACCTCCCTCTCTCCGCACTGACCTCTCTGGGGCCGTGCCCAAGTTGGGTGCCCTGCACACTGCACAAGGGCCTCCCCGGGCAGGAAGGCAGCCCTGGCAGAGTGGAGAGAGGTGGGGCTTGCTTCCTGCTTTTCCTTAGTGGTTCCTTTTTTCTCTTTCATCCTGGCATCCTGCAGGTGAGAATGGGGGAATCCCGAAGGCATGCCCAGCGGGGTGTCTCCCCCACTCCATTCTTGCACCATTTTGTGATTGGGGTTTCTCTGGGGGCTTGAAGAACCCTCTTGTCAACCTCCCATCCCTGGTGAATGTGGGGGACTTGCTCGTGTTGCCCAGGAGCCCAGTGCTGCCAGTTAGGTCAGTTGCATACGACAGTGAACCTGCAAATGGCCACTTGCTGGCTCTCCCTGGAAACTTCTCTGCTTTACAAGAGATAGAGCCAACACTAGTGCCTGAAAACCCCTGGTGGACACGTCTGCCCAGCCGAGGGAGGCAGTGGCCAGCACAGCAGGGCAGAATTCTTCAGGGTGGACACAGCCATCTTCCTGCTGGTTAGTCGACGTGGAACTGCCTTCTAGAAGCTTCTGGGGATTGCTGTTCTTGGAGGAAGTGGCCATGCCTCATAGCAAGTGCATATTGATACCCCCCCCCCACCACCATTTTAAAATGGTTTTATAAAGAGCCCAGTGTGCTGGGAAGAATGCCAGCTCGCATGTGACTTTGAAACCAGACATGGGAGGCAGGGGACAGGATCTGGGCTGACTGCTGGCGATGACAGTTGACGCTGCACTTGACAACCCAGACAAGCTGCTTGTCCACAGGATGCCCTTTGCTGCCCTCTCCGCGCTGCCCACCTGCCCACGAAGCAGAGAGAACTCCATGTGGTGGATTCTGCAAGTTGTGGGGGCTTCAGACTGCCTACCTGTAAACTGGGCATGGCAGCTACAGTACCCGCCCTCCTGCAGGGAGCTCCTGGAGCGACACACGTGATGGCTGCAGCAGGTGCCCCCATTCCGGGCTTCACATGTAGTCCTGCACCTGGGCAAGGGTGCAGATACGGTCTGTGACAGGATGTTGTTGGGTCACCGTGATGCCTCCTGGCTGGGGACATGTGTCTTCAGCTCTCTGTGCCTCTGCTTTCCCACCTGTTAAATGCTGACCCTGTTGGTTGGTGCCTTCCTCCTGGAATTACTTGTGGGTGTTTGAAGCACTGGCTTGCTCCGTGCCTGGCTTCCTGCAGCAGGAGCCCCTATCTGAACTGTGCTTGCCTTAGTTTTGCCTGGAATCTCCAAGACGCAGGTGGATGCTGGCTGTCTCCCAAGCTGCTGGACTGGAAGGAGATCTGCCCAGCTCCCAGGCCTTGGTTATTCATTGACTGACTTTGCGAATTCAGAGGAGCCCCTGGCGCTGGTGGCACTCAGAAAGCACGTGGCACACACTGCCTGTCTCCCACACCCTGCCTGGCTCCCACACACTGCCTGGCTCCCACACACGCTGTGTACTCACAGGTGTCCTGGATGGAGCAGTGATTTGGCTGGAGGTGCGGGCCATGGTTCAGCTCCTCTGCTGTTGTTTACTGGGAGCTGGAGTTAACCACAACCATCTCTGAGATGAGTGCCTGAGGCTAACCAGGGAGAACTTGTTCAGGGTCCAGAGCTAGGAATGCAAACCTCATCCTCCCCTCCCCCGGCTGCCCTTCCTGTCTCTGACCTTTATAGGCCAGGTAGCCGAGGCAGAAAGGAGTATGAGTGGCCAGGATGGTGGCGGGTCCTGGAGCTGTGTTTTCAGGACAGGGTTTTAGTAGAAAATAACACATCTTGATAAAACTTCTTCCCTAGAGGGGCTTCTTCAGGAGTGACGATGACCTTTGCCACATGAGTCTCAGCAGGCTGTTGTCAAAACTAAGAGGTTGACTGGGAGTCAGCCCCGACTCATGTGAGGCCAGGAGCATGGCTTTGATGGGTGTTCTGCACCCTGGGCTTCTCAAGGGCGGTGTGAGAGCCCAGCGTGGAGTTCATACCCAGGGAGAGGCTGGACTGGCCTGTTGCACCTGTTGGGCTGAGCCAAGCAGGAGCCTCTGGGGTGGGGAGGAGGGAGTGACCCCTAGGTGTGGCACTAGTTGGGAGAGGTCAGGGTCAGGGTGTGATGGGGTGTAGAGGAGGTCACATGCCTGGTGGATGGTGTCTTCAGCCAGCCTGACCCTTCCAGGACCCCTGTGCCCTTGGATATGACTGAATCCCAGGCAAGAAGTGCTTTGAGGAGGTTGTTGAAAGTGGATCAGTCCACAGCACCCTCTCAGGCTGCTGTGCAAACTCAAGGCAGCGACAGACCCCGGGACTCAGCCATTGCAAGGATGGCAGGGCATGTGTGTGTGTGCGCACGTGTGTGTGTGTTTGTAAGAGCTTGTGTGAGAAAGTATGAGTGAACATGAGCTGCTGTGAGTGTGTGCAAGTCTGTGTGGCAGGTGGAGAGAGTGTGAAGCTGTGTGCTGTGAACATGGACATGAATGGGGCTGGGAGTCTAGGAGTCTTACGGGGAAGGGCCAAGATCTGCCGTTCTCCACCAGGGCTGGCTGTGTCCCCAGGCGACAGGTGGTCATAGCACTTAGGGTGTGATTGGTAGGGGCCCAGGAAGCTGCTGAGCCCCTTGCTGTGCTCAGAGCAACCCTACATCCGAGAATTCCATGGTACCAGGGTCAGTGGTGCACGGTGGAGTTAGTGGGGCTGTCCTGAGACAGTGACCCTGAGCACCAGGGGGTGCATGCCCTTTGGTACCTGGGACCATCCTGCAGCCTGCTGCGTTGGGTGAGCTCATGAGCAGGTGCCTGCCTGGTCACTGAGACTGTAGGCCGGGAGAGGGCAGTCTTGGGTACTGGGTCGGTTGGGAGGATGGTGGCCTAGACCTGGCAGACCCCCTGGCTGTCCATCGTTTTGTTAACATGCAGGTTCCTTTAATGGAAAGAAGCCATGCCTCTGCTTTAGTGAGTTCCAGGACCTGTACTGTACTTGGTGTGGACCAGCACAGCTGAGCTCAGGCATGAGTGACATTTGGGGTCCCCGGGATCTTTGTGCCAAGGCTGTGCCTTGCACAGTAGGAAGTTTGGCAGCATTTCTAGCCTCTGTCCATTGCAGGCCAGTAGTAGTCCCCTCTGCTGTGACCCTCAGGCATATGCGGCCAGATGTCTTAGGGCAGACAGAATCTCCCCCAAGGAGGCAAGCACTGTGACAGCTTGGGTCTTCATTGACTGCGTCTGGGCTTCCCTAAGACTCTGAGGCTAGGTGGGGCTTTGTCTAGCTCCAAAAAGGCAGATTTGCAAGTACCTGCTATCTCTAGAAGATTCCATCATTTTTTCAGCCTACTGCCTTCTTGGGCTAGGAAGCCAAGAAGCAGGAATGGGGCAGAAAGGTGTGACACAGACTTCTCAGCAGGTACATGTGTAAGACGCCAGGATGGCTAGACTTGGTCTCCTTTCTGTCAGAAAGAGAGGGCAGCCTTAGAGGCTGACCGTGTGTTCCGACAAACACCGGAGAACTGGCCGGACTAGCCTGAGCTACAGCCTGCAGTCCTGACAGATGTGGAATGGCCTTGAAAGATTGCTTACTTGTGGTTGAGTGATGGCTCCAAGGGCAGTCTATACAATGTGGCCATGAAACTACCTGATTCCACAGTGCCATGATCACATGGTGGCCTGCCTGGTGTGATGGTAGCAGCTAGAGTGAGACAAGGACCTAAGGGAGGGGGCAGTGCACAGGTGTGGTGGAGCAGGCTGCCAGGTCCTGGCAGGGCAGGGCAGGAGCCAGCCTTCCTTGCTGAGCCCAGCATGCAGAGGCCTCTGTGGAATCTGCAGTCTTCTCTTGGCATGAGGCCCTGGACAGCTCCCTGGGCCTGTGGGGGCGAGGTGTCCCACGGGTCCCGGGCTCGGGACCACAAACGCGCTGAACAAGCAAAGCTCACGGACCCTGGCCTTTCAAACCCCTGCCTCCGAGCTGGCGGCTGCCCAGGAATGCTGACCAACATAAAACCGACTTTGTTTGTGGAATGTGTTGGAGCACAGGCTCCAGAGGTCTCATAAAGGCAGCCTTATGGACTGCTTATCTGCTGGGAGAGCCCTTACAAGGCTCTGAGCCGAGCATCCAGTGGGGTGCAGGACGCACCCACAGGGTGCCGTAGCCATATGCTGACCTCTGACTCTCAGAGTCCCCCGGGCTGGGAGCAAGCCCTCCTCTTGGCCATGGCCTCCTTGGAAGGGGATCTGGAAGGGGCCAGTTAAGGGCTCTAGCCATACTGTTTCTCACAGTTTGTTAGTCAGAGGCCTTTAGCTGTGCACTGGTGGCCTGGGCCTTTTCTTCTTGTTACTTCTTCTTCTGCCTCCAACTCTTCCTCCAGGGCTCTTGTGTTGCTCCCTGTATAACTTTGCCTTTTGTGGGGAGGGGGCTCTCCAGGTATTGGTTCAGGAGGGAGTCATTGTTACCAACTCCAGAATGCACAGGAAGCTCCTGGGAGAGTGACTTGGGGAGGGTCCTACACCGCCTAAGCGTGACCCTCCAGGGACAGGGTGATGGCCACAGTCCGTGCCCACCCGACCTTCATTTTCTGGTTCTTCTGCACCTGCCCAGGTTAGAGCCAAGGAGGGACCTTTTGCCCACTTCTGCATGAAGTGTGATGTGTGGCCAAGGTCTGTCCTTCCGGAGCCCCACTCAGTGCTCAGGGCCTGTGGCCCTTGGCTTCAGGTGCTCCCTGGCTGGCCATTTTCATCTCAGTGGGCAGCTTGGGTCCTGCACAGAGGTGGTTATGGAGTACAAACGTGTGTGTGTTGTGTGCATGTGTTTGCACATGCGTGTGTTAACTGGGTGCCCCACACAGGGTGAGTGCCCCAGTGCCCCTGGTTCTGCTTTGGATGTCAGCCTGTGACTGCATGACTTCGGCCTTGGTGATTTGGGTTACCAGGGGCATTGTGCATGTGGTCTGTGGGCTTGGATTTGATGTGTAGGATCCGTTGCGTTGAAAATGTAGTCGAGTCTGTGAGCTGGCTGCCCACAGGAAGACTAACACGGGGCAGTGGGCACGAGGGTCTTGCTGTAGACCATGATGTGGGTGCAGGGTGGCAAAGTGGATGCCTGCTTTTCTGCCAGTCTCACATTCTGGGCTTGAATTTGCTCCCTGAAAGAGGTGTCTGCTGGACGTGCTGACCTCTGGGCTTTTGTCCCCTCCCACACAGGTGACAGCAGAGACAGCCATGTCCCGGGAGCTGCAGGACGTGGATCTGGCCGAGGTGAAGCCTTTGGTGGAGAAAACAGAGGTGAGTGCTCATGGCCCTGGCCTCCGCTGCACCTGTGTGCACATGTCATCATGCACACAAGCACACTCCAATCACACATCATGTACACATGTGTACGACGCAGCCACATATGTATGTGCACCAACACACAGGTCCCAAACGCTACAAGTACAAGAGGCACCGCTTTGTGTCCCACGAGGCTGTTAGGTGCTGTGGCTCCTGCCTCCCTCTCGGGCTCCTGTGTTGGTGTCCCGCTGCTGTGGCCCCTAACTTGCAGCGGCAGAGCCAGAGGTGCCCTGAGCACCCCCGTAGCTGACATGTGTGGCTGTGGAGTTAGAGCGTTCACCACGCCTGTGTGCTCTGTGTTCTCAGAGCCCTTCCCTGCGAGGGGCCAGAGCACAGTTCGTGTTCCTTTTCCAGCAGCCTAGTGTTTTCACCATATCTGGCCCATGCCAGTGCACGGACACTTGTCACTAAGGATGCTGTCACCTGGGATGGTCATCCATGTGCCTGTGTTCCGGCCAGGCTGCGCTTCCCGTGTGTGTGAGCAATTAGGGATGCTCCATGAAAAGGGTGGGGCAGGGAGTGAGCGATAGGCCCGTGGGTTCCTGGGTTATTTCTGCACCTGTGGAAGCTGATGACTCCTACTCTGTGTGTCCTCTCTCCTCAGACCATCAGCGGCCTTCTGCGTGAGTTCGACGTGCAGGCAAGTAGAGCCCATGACTTCTCGCCCCTCCCCTGCCCTCTCCTTCCTTTCATTGATTTGGGGCAGAGTGTTGTGTTTGTGATGAGGGGATGGGGCAGGGCAGAGCCAGTCCAGCAGGCTGCCTGTACCAGGTGCTCTTCCAAACTATTAGCTGTCCTGGCCAAAGAAGTGGGAACCAGTCACTTCTTGCGACAATCTCAACCCCTGAGTGGTCACATAGAGCTGGGCAGAACTGCGACCGTGGGCAGGGGAGAGGCAGGGGGAGCAGTGAGAAGCTGGACTGGCTAGGGGTGCCACTGTCACGGGAGGGGGCCAAAGCAGAGGCTTGATGGTGTCCTGGACTCCCCTGGAAAAGTGAAAGCCGGGGCTCCAGGTGTGCCCAGAGGGGGGACAAGTTCTGGGTGGGGTGGGATGGTGGGCTGGGCAGGTGGTGTGAACTGTGGGAGCTGCAAGTCCTAGACTCGGAGTCTCCAGGTCCAAGACCAGGCTCCATGCTGCCCTGAGCCCTTGGGCAGTAGCACAGGAGGGAGAGCTTGGGGCCAGCGCAGGAAGGCTGCTTTCCTTGGGGTCCCCTGAATCTCAGCTGTCTGGTGCTGGGGGCCTATCCTCCTATCCTGTCTGGGGCCATTTTCTGTGACCTCAGCTCAGGTGTCCTGCCCACGTCTCCCTCCCAAACCATTCTCTCCGGATGCTGGGCATCCTGCCTGCTCTTTGGGAGGAAAGGAACACATGGGAGAGGACATCCCTGAGGCCACCCTGCAGTGACTTGGGTCGGTGGCTGTAGGACCTGATCTTCCTCTTTCCAAGCTGAAAGTTGCATGCACGGACCTTGATGCTGTGAGTGAAGCAGTGGGGGCTTCTGGCAAGGGTCCCATCACAATGCTTGGTGGTCCCGTGTCATCAGGGCTCAGATGGTGCAACACACCAGTGATTGGGTGTCTCCCCAGCTCTGCCTGATGGGGAAGGGAGCCCGTGGTCTTGCTGTGCTGCTCAAGGGCTGGAGTCCTTTCTGCTTGCCTTCCTTGGGCTTGCATCTCCGGGAGGCAGGGGGATGTGGGCCTTCTGCAGGTGCCCAGGTTATCCTGGGCAGTCCTTCCTGATGCAGCTGGGGAACTGAGAGAGAGAGAGAGAAGTCCTTCCTTCAAGGCTGCATGGGATTCTGCCTTCTGGAATCCCCGCCAATGTCATCCACGCTCAAGGGGCTTGAAGACAGATCCTCTGGCAGGGAGGGGCAGATGCCGCAGCCAAATGAACGGCTCTGCTAATTCCATTAGTTCTTGCTGCTGAGATTCTCCATTCCTGTCAGGGTCAAGGGCACTTGCAAGAGGCAGGGAGAGTGCCCTGCAAGCCACAGGATGCCATTTCTTCATAGGTGCGTTCCACCTGTCTTGGGCCTCATCTGTGAGACAGCCAGGGGCACCAGCCCTAGTGAGCAGCAGTCGGAGAGCATGGCCCTGACTCACACATCATGCCTCTGTTCGCCACTTCCACTCTCTTGTGATGGTTTGTGGTAAAACTCATGCAACAGAACAGTCACCAACAGGACTCAAGGCACACATTTGTTCTTGTCTTTGTTTGTTTAATTGTAACTTATCCAAGAAAAGATTTATTAACTTACTGGAAAGGCAGGGTGAAAGAGAAAGGGAAGGAGAAAGAGATTAATCTGTCTTCTGGCTCACTCCCCTGCTGGCCGCAACAGCCAAGGCTGAACTGGCCAAAGCCGGAGCCAAACTCCCCACAGGGTGGGAGGGCCCCACACCCGGCCCCTCTTCTGTTGTCTTCCCAGGTGCCTTAGCAGAGCAGCTGGGACTGGGGCCAGTACTCCAATACAGGATGCCGGTGTCGCAAGCAGTGGCTTAATTCATTGTGCTGCAATGTGGACACTTGCAGTTGGCCACCACAACCGCATGTATGTGTGCAGCCCGACAGCACTGGTCCATTCCCCTTTGTGCCGTGCGGCTGTTACTGCCGTCCATCTGCACAACCGATGACTGTTGCCAAACCGAGCCCCAGTGCCTGGGAGACCACTTCCTGTTCCTTTCCACCCTCTGTGAGTGCAGTCACCTAGGCTGTGTCCTCTGGGCAGTGGCTGTGCCTCTTGGCATTCTCAAGGGTCACCTGTGTTCTGTGCTGGCGTAGTTTTCCAAGGTTGAGTATTTTGTCGTGCGTTGACCCTGCCTTTTTCGTCTGTTTGTGAATGAACAATTGGTGGCTCCCATTGGTGGGTATTGTGAATCAGCGCCTGTGACTGTGGGCACATGCCTCTTAGAGTCTGCATTCCATTCTTTGAGCATAACTGGGAGTGAGATTGCTGGATTGGAAAGTCTTGAAATCCTGCTTGTTGGTTCTGGGAAGCCAAGAAAGCAATCCAGAGCCTGGAAAGATAAACTCCTGCCTTTTGTGTCCTGCCTGGTCATTTGCGAAATCCTTTTTAAATGTAGTTTGTATCCTACAACGTGAGCAGCCAGTAGAGTAGGCCCAGCTGGGAAGGTGAGGTTCAGATGGGTTTCCACATAGGCACAGACCTATTTTGAGCCTCTGGGGCCCTGGAGTGCATTCATGAGATTGGAGCATTTCCTTATTGTGCTTCCTTTTTTCCATTAACAAATGCCCACTTGGTGCCTGGCATTGCCTCAGGTGCTGGGCATACAGTGGTCAGTGGTCTTCGTGCTTGAATTCTGTGCTAGAGGCTAGTACCACCAAGCCTGGTGTGGGCCGAGCATTGATCTGATTGCATCATGTCAAGCTCCATGATGCTCACAACAAGTCCGGCTCATTGTGCAGGTGCTGGGTCCTGGAAGGCACAGTAGGTGGATTGAGCTGCCTGGATGAGTGTAGGGCTGTGTTGGAGCTTGGGCATATGCTTCCAAAGTAGGCATTTGAGGCCCCTCCTCCACCTGGGAGAACGGGGAGATATGCAGCATATCACCAGGCTAGCAGGAGCATCAGCTCTGACTGCTGAGAGCAGAGTTCTGGCTGATACAGAGCCAGGGCACTACGGGCTCTGCCTTAGCCCAAGCGATCAAGGATAGATGGACTAGAGAGAAAGATGAGGGATGGATTTGTGGCACACAGGGCCAGTGGTCACGCTGGCCTGGATCCTGAACCTTCTCTGGGAAAGGAAAGTTATCACTGTGAAATGTCGGTAGGGCCTCCATGTTACCTGGGAATGATGGTGTTAGCGCCAAGTCCAGTGTTGTATGAGACTGCTTTGAGCTTGTTAACACAGAGAGCAGGTAGAAAATCATCCGCCTCGGGGTTGGGTTCCCATTTCCAGTGGGTTGTGACGTCTGCGATGGCTTCCAGCAGATTCCAAGGTAGGACTTATGAACACCACGAGTGCCCCAGCCTCCGGGGTTGGGAGCACTGCAACCTTTCCTTCAGTGTGACCAGCAATGCTGCCCAGCCCCAAAGGGCTCCCACTGCATGCAGGACAGGAGCACCTGTGGGATGTAGCATTCCAGAGGCTGGCCCTGATCCCTGGATCCTCTGCCTGCTATGGTGCGTCACATCCATGGTGGGGTGTCCCCTGCCATCTCACCATGTTTTCTAGAACTCATTGAGGAAACTGGAGCTATCCCGCTGACGGCTGCTGGCAGTTTGTCTCAGTGACCTGAACCAGGCTGGCACAGTCACCCAAGGAGCTTTGATCTGCTTTTGGACTTGCCAGGGCCAGTCTAGCACTTACCGACTAGGTCCTTCCTAAGTCACCTTTGATTACTGTGTATCTGGCCAAACAGGTCATCTAAACAGTGCCTCACGGGGCCTGTGGTTGACACCTTGAGGAGGCAGCTGCTCCAGGGGACCCAAGGGTCTCTCGTGGTTGCTTGAATGGCCAGCTGCTATTGCCTGTTCATGTGGTTGAGTCCTTACCTGCTTATTAAAGAGAAGGTTGTCTGGCCATTTTTTCACGAGCTGGGGCTGATGATGAATTGCTTTATTGTGTGTGTCCAAAGGCAGAGAGCAGGGAGAGAGAGAGATTTCCACCTGTTGGCTCACTGCCCAAGTGCTCGCAGCAGCCGGGGCTGGGCGAGCCTGATCTAGGGGTGTAGGGACCAGGCTCTCCATACACATCTTGTGCTTGCAGACATTCCCTTCCTTGGTGCAGCAGTCAGCAGGCAGAAGTTGCCTGGAGGGTCTCCCTGGCTGCTGACGGCCGGAGCACATGGCAGCACAGCCTTCTCTCTTCCTGGAGCACGTCTCCGTACGGTAGTCTGGTTGATTTGGCCTGGGTGATTCCCCAGGCAAACGGTGAGCTCTCTGCTTAGGAGATTCTGCCAGCTGCTGCCAGGACCTTGTACCAGTCCCCTTTCTGGGTGGATTCTGAAGGCCACAGAGTGGGGCCTGGGTGGGCTGTGGGAAAGACCCGCTGCAGGAATGGCTTCCTTTGCCTGCTGAGAAGGCACTGGCTTCCGGTTCTAGGTGGTGAGGCTTACAAATTGGAGGAGTGATGTGGATGGGAGTATTTGGAGCTCTTTAAGATTTATTTATTTTTCTTGGAAAGGCAGATATATAGAGAGGAGGAGAGACAGAGAGGAAGATTTTCTGTCTGATGATTCACTCCTAAAGCAGCTACAACGGCCGGAACTGTGCTAACCGAAACCAGGAGCCAGGAGCCTCTTCCGATCTCCCATGTGGGTGCAGGGTCCCAAGGCTTTGGGCCTTCCTTTAGTGCTTTCCCAGGCCACAAGCAGGGAGCTGGATGAAGCGGGGCTGCCAGGATTAGAACCAGCACCCATATGAGATCCCGGTGCGTGCAAAGTTGAGAACTTTAGCCTTCTTGCAGGGCCCATGTGGTAACCTGTCACTCATTTTCTTCCTTCAACATGGTTGCTTCGTGGTCCTGTCCCCTGAAGGAAGGTGGACAGAACTGAGGAGCCTGGAGGTCCTTCCCTAACCCTGTCCCACCCTCGCCCTCCTGCTGTCCCGCGGGACTTACTTAGAACAGCCCCAGTGACAGATGGTGGGAGGGCTCATCTGGATCAGCAAGGCTTTGGGAGACAGACGCCAGGCCTGGCCTGGGCACTCCTCTGGAGGTTCCCTGGGGGCACCCCTCCCCGACCCGAGTTGGTAGGAGAGAGGATGGCTGGCTCACCAGGTGGCCCTCACCTGGGTGGCGCTTACACCTGCCTTTCTTCAGTCTGTCTGGACCAAGCTCTGGCTTACCTAGCACAGACGCTTATCTCCTGGTGTGCAGAAGCCATGCCGTAGGCAGAAGGCATGTAGGTCCAGGGCTGTTTGCATCTTTGGCTGCTTGTGGGACCTCCCCGGGCCTAGTGATGCCATCTATAAGATGGGCATTTCGCTGTTGGCCCCTAGGAGTGCTGTCAGGCTAGACAGCATGTGCCTGTGGGACTGAAGGGTGGGTCCTGGAGGGTGGTTGCTCCCCCTCTCACTTGTCCTCAGAGGGCCTTGGATTGCTGATCCTTGGACAAACTGGGCAGATAATACCAGGGAGGGGCAGTCAGATACATGTGGGCAACCCCACTTGCGGTGTGCGCCCCTGGGGACTCATGTGCAAGCTTCGCAGAAAGCTTTCCTTCAGCCTGGTTCCTTCAGCCTGGCACCGAGTCCAGAGCGGGGAGCATACAGGCCGCAGGTGGTGGGCTTTGGGGCTCTCCAGATCCAAGATGGGGTCACCAAATCCAAATCCGAGATGGCTTCACTCTCCCAGTGTGTGCCTGGGGTGCTCCCAGCCTCTGCTGCTCAGGGCAGGGCCTGGAGTGGGGCACATGGCCAAGGGGATTGTGGCTGAGCCCCTTCTGCACCTTGGGAAAGCTACCTTCTAGGTCTTTCCAAGGCAGGCAGGAAGAAAAGCCAGAGAGCCCGGGTGATTGTCTCTTGCGGCCACATGGGGTCTTCTGCTGTTGTTGCACTTGTTCCTGGTCAGAGAGGCCCCTGGATGAGGCCCCAGGACAGGGCAAGCAAGAGGACACACAGCCTTGAAGCTCTCGGCTCCTTGTGCCCTTTCAGCGCTCGTGGGCACCCGGGGCAGGTGACTGGGTGATTCACTCCGCGGGGACAGCACGTGCCTGTGGGACTGAAGGGAACAATGGCGTTTCTTGTGAGTGCTTTAGTTTGCCCCATTCAGTCTCAGTCCTGCTGGTTTTGGCCAATGGGAAGAGGAGGTGAGAGAGCTCCAAGACTGGTTAAAACCCTGTGGGAGTTGTAAGTGGGCATGCGTGTGCAGGTGCAAGGCTTAGGGCACAGGAAGACCAGGACACCTGGTTTGCTGGCTTTGTCCCCTCCTCCCTTTGTGGGCTGGCATGCCAGAACTCTGGAGTTCCGAGTTCATGTGGTAGGATCTAGAACCCCTGCCAGGGCTCAGTAGATAAAGATTCTGACATGCCTTCTGCTACTACAGGTTGGTAGCCATGGAAAAAGTGCTCTCAATTTCCCCACCTGTATAATGGAGTTGGCAGGCTTCTCTGTGGCTCTGGGAGCTTAGGTGCCCTGCCCAGCCCCTGGGCACAAAAAGTGCTGGCCTCTAGTGCTCTGTGAGGCTGTGTCCTGGGCACGCAGTGCTGGGGAGCAGGGAGCAGGGGAGCAGAGGTGGGTTTGTCGAGTAGCTCACAGCCAGCTCGAAGGCACTGTGAGCTGGGTGCTGGAGGTGAGCGCCACATCCACCAACACACTCAGCAAGAGGTGTACTTTCCCAGGAGGTCCCCTCTGGTGTCACCAGCAGAGTCCAGGGTCTTCCATCCAAAAGGCACCGAGCACCTGCTGTGTGCAGGTGACTGTGCCAGTTAGCAAGTCCAAGGTAGCCATTCCTTTTTGGACCATCCCCACATCAAAGCAGAGCAATTCTAAAGCCTCAAAGAGATGTGTCAGAAACTGTTAGCCCTCCCCACTCGAGGGCTGCCAGAAACATGCTCCTTGCCACAGGACCGGGCATTCCCTGTCTGCCATGCTGGGTTCCAGGCCACCAGCAGGTGGCTTCCACTCTTTCCCATCCCAGAGGCAGGAATTTGAAGGCTAATTCACAGTGGCTGGCCCCTGTGCACAGACCAAGGGGACCAGGGCACGCTGCCTGGTTTAGCCTATTTTTAGAAGGAGCCATGTGGGTGGGCGGAGAAGACAATGAAGAATGGGGGCCCTACAGTGGCTTATTGTTCCTCTGGAGGCTTCAGGGCCTGGCAGGGCCCAGCAGATGATCCGTGGCCCCCACCAGGGGTGGCGCTGGGGGCTGGCCATGGCTCCCACGTCTGGATTTTTCCAGGGCTTCATGTCAGCAGCAGGGAAGTATTGGGTCACGAGGGGCAGAAAGAGGACAGGGACACAGGGCTTGGCTGTTTGAGTTTTCCTCTCCTTCATGTAGAACCTGGGAGGCAGGACTCTGCTTTTCTTTCTGAATCCTTGCTCCTTTCGGTACCATGGCCCTGGGGATGTTGGTCCTCCTCCTTGGCCCCTGCCCTCAGCCCCTTTGATGGGCTGCTTCATTGGCTTTGCTTTCTTCCAAAGAACTCCAGGGCCCTATAACTCCTGGGGTCCTCCCCATTGCCCCTGCTAGGTATAGGCTCCTGTCCACTTATCTCCCTAGGTATCAAGGTGAGTGGCATATAGTAGGTACTTAATCAGTGAGTGGCACATGGCAGTGGAATGGTTGAAGTCGCACAAAGGAAGAAATGGATCAGAGACGGGCGTGTGGATGGCAGGAGTGTTTCCCAGTGCTGTCTCAGGGCTGGGAGCCTGCGGTGGCAGCTGAGGTTGCACCTGCTAAGTCCTGAGGGTGCACACAGGTGAAGATACACTGAGGGTGACCCTTCTGCCTGGCCTGTATGACCCCAGCTGCTGCTCTTACCTTCTTGCCCTGATAAGCATGTGTAAACCCGACAAGGCTCTTGTGAGAGATGCGGGCCGTAGAGATGGCTCAGGGCCACCCCAAGCACCGGGGCCGCCAGTCCTGGGCCAGAGGAAGTAGATGTGACCCAGGTGAAACTGCTTCTCTCAGATGCAGATCACTGCAGTGAGATGAGTGACTTGGGGCCTTGGAAACTTCTGGTGATTGCAGCTGGAGCCTGGTCCAGGAGTGGGTTGAGGTTCTTGGCAGGTGACTCTCCTTTGGAGATGGAAGGGAGAGCCAGGAAGGGGTGGGGTACGGAGACATGGGGTGGGGGACTGGCTGAGTGAGCAAGTCTGTGGACACAGGCTGGATAATTATTTTGGGGCTGGAAAGGGGCTCCCTGGCCTGCTGAGAACTGGGGGCAGGTAAGGGATGGGTGTGGTGTGGTGTCATTTAGGAATCTGGGTCAACTCAGAAGAGCTAGTGTGTAATCGATACTTGTTCCTGCAAGCAGAAGTCTCAGGTGGTAGGCACTGCTTCCTCTCTGTTTTCCATCTCTAAACTGATGGGATTGTCCAATATCCTGTATCTGTCATTCCTGCTCTCCTCCTCTCCCCCCCACCTTGTCTACTTTCCATCTCTGTGAATTTGTCTACCCTGGACTAGTGTATAAATAGAATCATCCCATGTGGAGTCTTCTGTGATATTGTCAGTTTCCCTGTGTTGTGTGTAGCAGGTATCAAACCATCCAGCCTTTATTACATGTCACACCTGTGTGTAGATAGTCCACATTCAGTTTATCCATCTTCAGTTGATGAATGCTTGAGCTGTTGGCATTGGCTGCTGTGAATAACATCACTTGCCAATGGGTGACAATAGGGTTTGCTGCGGATCCAACCCTTCCAGCTTTGCTGGATCTGGATCCAATCCACTTCACCAGTAGCTGGTTTGCCTGACTCAGCTGGTCAGGTGGTCTTGCAAAGCTGCCATGTGGAATGTGTGAGTTGGCTTTGGCATGGGAAAGGTTGGGAGGGGGATAAATGTCAGGAGAACTCTACTAGAGCAAGAGGTGGGTGGCTTTCCCAAAGAAAATTGAAGACTGTTCTTGGAGATAGGGAGTGGATTTTGAGCAGTCTAACCCATCAAAGGCCCATCTTGGGCGTGATCACCTGTGGCCAAAGGTGAGCTGAGACATGCATGTGCAGGAGACCTCTGTTTCTCGGATGGTGGAGATGCAGTGGCGTAGGGGAAGGGCTGTAGTGCCTGGCTTCTCCCAGAGTTTGGTGCCATTGATGGTATCGTTTGACCTGGGGTTCTTCCCTCTGCACCAACAGACTCAACCCCTTTCCTTCCCTTTTTCTCTCTTGCTCTGGGCGTGGCTCCTGGTCACTGACCTCTACCACTGCTAAGCCCCAAGCCCTGGTTGCTGGCTGAAGGTGCACTCCATGCTTCCTCCGGTGCTGGGAATGGACATCCCATGGCCCATGTGACAGGCCCTGTGTCTGCTGTCCCCTCAGGAGCAGGACATTGAGACTCTGCACGGCTCCCTCCATGTTACTCTGTGCGGGACACCCAAGGGCAACCGACCCGTCATCCTCACGTACCATGACATCGGCATGAACCGTAAGTTCCCAGGAGCCATGGCTCACTTTCTGAAAGGGTCCATCTTGGAAGGGCAGAGCGATGGCTGAGGTGGGGAACCCACTGTCTCCACTCTAGGGTCTTTGGGGAGCAGTTCTGGGAAAAGCTCTTGCCACAACCCTGAATGGCCTGGAATGTACTGTGTAAGGCTCGTACAGTATGGGGCTGCTATGAGCCCAGGGAGCCCTCTGCCATCTGACTGGTTCCGGAGGCAAGGACTTCAGTTAATACGATGGTGGTGCTTAGTGTTCCCCTAAGAGTACGATAGCCATCAGCCTAATCATTTGGAGACCTTTCCATCACTCCACAGGGAAATTGTGTCCCCTGTATCTGTGACCCAGTCTCCCATCCTCACCAGCCACTGGTGATGGACCACTTGTCTGCTTTCCATCTCTATGAACCTGCCTGCTCTAGTGTGTTGGAATAAACAAATGGAATCACACAGTCTGGGGCCTTCTGTGATGCTTTCACGGATCCCTCGTTGCATGTAGCATGTGCCCTGGTTGCACATAACTGCACCTGCGTGAACATAGCCCACGTTCATTGAGGAAGCCAGTTTTTGGCTCTTGTGAGTACTGCTGCTATGTGTGTGTGACTGGAGAGTTCTAAAGGTTTCTGGGGAACCAGGTGGAGATGGTAAACCCTGCCACTCAGATGGAAGACCTTTGGCCTGGCTCATCCCTGGCTGTGCTTGGCATCTGGGGAGTAAAACAGTAGATAGAAGATCATTCTGTCTTTATTGCTCAGCCTTTCTTTCAAATTAGAATAAAGTTTTGAAAGAAAATACACAGAATGGAGATGGATTTTTCCCCACAGAAGGCACTTTTAGACCTTCTTGTTCAGTTACATTTGAAAAGCGCAGTATTGAGTGTTCCGTGCTTGGGTAGGTTTTGACTAATACATTACTTGGTTTATATTTTCCCCTACAGCTTATTAATTCCAGTTCATTCTTGAGGCTGTAGATGTCCTTCTTCATCCTCATTTCAATTTAGCTCACATTTCCCTCCTCCGCCCCCTTGTGTCTGACGTGCTGGTCCCAGGCCAAGTGCTTTGACAAGCATGGTGTGCCTGCATACTGGGCTCTGGTGAACATGGTATTGCCTGCATCCGTGTTGCACACGTTGTCCGCAGGCTGGTTGCCATGGGCGAGATGCTGCAACCGAAGGCCCACACTCTGGGATCTGCTCGTTCCCGGTCCTGGAACAATTTAGTGGATGCTTTGTGAAACATGTCCTGCTTGTGGTTTTGCCACCAGCCCCTTCCTGCATGTGACTCTGCCTTTTCCATGGGCTTTAGAGTCTTCTGCTGGTGTCTCTGCTTCCAGGAGATGGGAGAGGAACTACTGGGTGGGTGATGGGAAAAATGATGAGCATCCCTTGCTATTGGCCAGAAGCTGATCACGATAGATGGATTTCAAGGGAGTCTAGAGAATGTAGTCCAGCCAGGTGTCCAGGGCGAGAGAAGACATGATTTGGTGGTCCTTTGGCCCTCAGTGATTGGCAGACTCCAAGGCCACACAGGAAAGGAAGAGTCCATGCTTTATTGCCCGGCTCTTGTTAGAAAATGAACGTGCACTGGCCAGTGGCCCAGACATGAGCATCTAGAAGACTTAGAGACCAAGAGGTTTTCAGCCAAGAAACCCAGCGTGTCCTAGGGCCATGGGGCCAGACTGGGAGCCCATGTCAGCACCAGCCACAATTTCTGAGATGCCTCTCCTGGCACCTGCATCAGTTTGCAGTTCACTGATGAGCCAGCCTCGGTCCTGAGAGCCGCCCTTGTCTTTGTCACCAGGAGAAAGTGGAACTGGGGTCTGCACAGGGTGGGAGCCAAAGCACCGCATGGGTACTCCTTGTCAGCGAGACTTCTGGTCTGACTTTTCTCTCGTCGCCTTTCTTCCTTGCTTGCCTGCTTTGCCTCCAGACAAAACCTGCTACAACCCCCTCTTCAACTACGAGGACATGCAGGAGATCACCCAGCACTTTGCGGTCTGCCATGTGGACGCCCCTGGCCAGCAGGACGGTGCACCATCCTTCCCCGTGGGGTGAGACGTTGGGGTCATCCCTCCCAGGATGCATACTGAGTTGGCCACTTCATTCACAATGCCATTTATGTCATGTTTGGGGCATGCTGAATGTGACTGGCCTGGCTAGGTCCATTTCTAAGATGCAGAAATTGAATTACCGAGCCATTCACTGCCTTGTTCAGAGTTGCGCAGTCATCTCACTGAAAGCAATTCCCTTTGAAGCGGCAACCTGTGGTGGGCTGTCTGCTCTGCCCAGCCGTGCTCAGCCTGCAGTGGACAAGGGCTATACCTATTCGCATGGTGTAGTCACAGTCAAGCTCACCACTGCCTTTTGCACCCCTCCTCGCCCCACCAGTAAGCATCAGATGGGGTGAGGTTGGACTCTAAAGGACTCCTCTTGACGCTGTGATTAAACCAAGGTAGGAGCAGGCTTCTAGGTCAGCATCTTCCAGAAGTCACCATCTAGAGGGCATCAAGAAATAGCCTTTTCAATTAGCATTTGGAATTTCTCCTTAATAATTAACCCTTATCGGAGAAGAAGGGGGCCAGGACCACACATTAAAAGCTTATCAAAATGGTGAGAAGCAGTTAACTGTTAACCAGCAGATAAACCAGGGGTCAGTCACACCAGTGGACGGGGAAAGGCTTGCAGAAGGTGCATGAGGAGACTATCTCAGCTCCCTGGCAGGTTGGAGTGATGTTGCAAGACCCAGGGGGCCCAGCCTGGGAGTGTGTGTTGAGTTGATGCAGGGTGTGTTTCTGCCAAGGTCATGTGTGATTGGGAATCCCTGCTCTGAGTCCCTCAGCTAGGGACAGTGGGGGAGCAGGGAGCATCCCAGCCCCTGTAAGGGTGAAGCCTCTGCAGGCTGAGCCTGATGCAGCAGAGCAGGCATGGGGTCGCCTGGTCAGGCAACTCCTGGATCTGGGACCTGCTTGCTACACAGGATAGGTCCTTGTGGGGTACCCTGCTGCCTCCTTGCTGTGCCCCCAACCCTGGGGTGCAAGGAGAAGCTGAGAGGCCCCAGAAGTGAGCTTGCTGGGCTTGTCTCTCACTTTGGGGGCCACTAGCTCCCAGCGCATCAGCAGCAGCCTGATGTCCCTGTCTGTCATCTGCCCTGTAGACCTCTTCTCCCATAGTCCAGCACCACTCTCCCCCACCTGCTCCCACTCAGGTTGAGTCCCACTTATCCAGATCTTCTCAGGCTCCTGTACCTGCTGGTTTCTGCTGAATATATTCCTGGCATTCTTTACTCATACAAAGCTCTCATGCCCTTCCTCCCACCTCACCTTTCTCAGTCACTTCTTCCAAGAAGTCCTCCCTGACTGCCTGACCCAAATGGACTTCCCTACCCAGTCTCCCCTCTTTGCACCTGCTTTCCTCTCACAGCCTTTGTTACGAGTCTGGTCACTTTTCTTCCACAGTTGAACTCTGCTGTGCTTGCGTGCCCCCCCGCCTCCCCCAGAGCCTGGCACGTGCAGGAGTGTCAGTGGCTCCTGGGCAGGTGACTCAGGCCCCTTCTGGGTCCTGCTCTCTGAACTTGTAAATGGGCAAGGCCTTTCTGCCCTCCTTTCTGCTCTCCCAGCATCCTGCACCCATGGCTGAACACATACCCCAGCACCCCTGCCTCTGGACCTGTTGGTCTTAAGAACCAAAGTGGGCTATTTTGGGATCACTGATGTTTAGAATTCTGGTACTGGGGAACTCTTCTACGACAGCTCAGTGAGCTTACCCAGGGGCCCTTCCTTGGGACCCCAGGCCTGTGGGAGGAGCCTGCCTCTGTGTGTGCTGCTGGGTACTCAGAAGGTGAAGGGCACTGGGCAGGGGGTGAGCATGTATGGCCCTTGGGTACTCATGTCCCACTGACTGCCTCTTGCTGTGTCCCCAGATACATGTACCCCTCCATGGATCAGCTGGCTGACATGCTCCCAGGAGTCCTCCACAAGTTTGGGTAAGAGCAAGCCACTCCTGGGGCCTGCAAAGAAGGGCGGCTCTCGCTCACTCCATCTCTCTGCCTTGATCCCCGTCTGGGCACCCACACCTGGGCTGGAGCTGAGTAACAGGCAAGGGGCGTTCCGGTGCTTTGCAGACACTGCTCCCTCTGCGGCTCCATCATATTGGTCCTCCTTCCTGGATGGCAGCACCCACCCCGCCATCCTGCCCCGCCTCCCCTCCTGGTGCCCCTGCCTCCTCCCGAGCTCTGTGGCCGTTGGCTGTGTGCCTGAGGCTGGGTGGGTTATGCAGAGTGGAGGCTGACTTAGTTCCTGGCTCTGGAGGCTATGAAGTCCCAGGACACAGTGCTGGGTTCTGCTAAGAGCAAGAGAGAGTGAGGCTGCAGAGGGGGCAGAGCCAAGCCCTCCATGTCCACAAGTGGGTTTGGCTGTTCACCAGGACGGAGTCCTGAGACCCGATCAGCTTCCAGAGGCCTTGCCAGGTGCCGCATGCACAAGACTTTGCGGACAACACAACCCCCCAGGCTAGCAGAGGGCTCCTGGGCTGCCCAGGACTTTGGAAACAGCTCCCTGGCACTGCCTGCTTTCTGCTCTAGCTGTCTGTGTGATGATGATGATGATGATGATGCCTTGTGCCCTTGCCCAACTTGCTTCCCTTCCCTTCCAAGCTCTGGCCTCCAGTGGGAAGCAGTAACGAATGCCCTTGGGGCCTTCCTGTAAATGTCAGATGGGGCCCTGGGAGCCTGGGCTCCAGCCAGGAGGGAGGGAAGGGAACCAGGCAGTCCAAGGTCATGGTCCCTGTGGAGTCTTAAAGGGACTTGGGGTCCTTGAGAGTCCAGCCTGGCAGCATGCTCCAGGGTTGTGTCGTGTACATGAGGCCTCCTCGGTGGCCACGCTGCAGTGGTCCAGGGGGCTTTAGGCGATGATGACGGCACCATCTCTTTCCCTGATGGGAGTCCTTGCTTCCGCTTCTAGGCTGAAGAGCATCATTGGCATGGGAACGGGCGCGGGCGCCTACATCCTGACTCGATTTGCTGTGAGTTCTTGGGCATATTTTAAGTATATCAAATTCATTGGAGACTTAAGGAAGAAAGGTGGGGAAAACAGGAGGGCCCAGAGGGAAAGAAACAGAATCCCTCACTGTTTCCAAAAGCGGAACCCTGCCCACCTCTTGCACCTGCTCCGTGCTCCTGTATCCTGGGCACACACACAGGTGGCATGTCCTCACACAAATCCAGCTCCTGTTTTCATGCATGCTGTGCCAGGTACACACTTTTGTCACAGGCTTGGTGTGTGTGCTTCGTTTTTATGTTACTACAACATAGTCCCCGAAGCAGGCTGCTTCATCGTCTGGCTCCCTGTTCTGGGGGTTCAAGGAGCGAGGTAGGGCCAGGCTCGCTGTCCTGACAACCTGCTCAGGGTCACGTGGTGGCCGTCTGATGCCTGCTGTGAGCAGTACTTCTGCTGACCCCAGGGACCTCGCGCTGCACCAGCCCTCGCCTAAGTGCCTCCAGCATCATCCTGCTGAGGACCACTCATCAATACTGGGATCTGTAAGGATTCCTCACTTCCTCTCCATGGCAGGCTCATGCACTTGGCCAGGTACATGAGTTGTGTCCACTTACAGAAAAGTATACCACAGCCCCGCTCTGTCACACCTGTTTGGGATTTTGAAGCTAAAGTCCATTTACATCCCAGCTTAACCCCAACATGAACCAGAGATGCATGCGTGAACCTGACAGCTGTCCTTCTTGTTACATCTCGAGCACTGCTGTGGCCTTGACATTGCATCCTCAGCAAGCTGTTGGAAAATGCGGCCCTCCTCATTGCCTTCCCACGTAGGGAATTCCGCCCGTCTTCTGCTTAGCTGGGCTTTGCTGTAGGAGGTGAATCAGCCACCGAGACTCTGAGAGTAGAAGGCCTCAGGAGGGTCATGGTGCCTCTGCTGCACCCTGATTTGCGAGGTTGATGGGGCTTGTACCCATCTGACAGCTAGAAGAGCTGAGGCCCAACCCAGCAAGGTGGGGGCTCTGCAGCACATGTCATTGCTACCCCCTTTTGGGTTTCTGCAGGACCTAGTGTTGTCCCCCTGGGGTAGGGTGTGGGGCTTCTGGCAGCTCTTGTGGTCTGACCCTCTTCTGGGTGAGTGCCCTCCCATGTGGTGTGACTTGGGAAGTTCCAAGGGTTTTGGGTGGCCCGGCTCTGTCTCACCTGGTGTCTTGCATCTCGCAGCTCAACAACCCTGAGATGGTGGAGGGCCTCGTCCTCATCAACGTGAACCCCTGTGCTGAAGGCTGGATGGACTGGGCTGCCTCCAAGGTGAGCCTGGGACCCCGGGGGCCGCGCATGCCTGGAGCAGCCCTGGAGCTCCAGGCCCCACTGCACTCACTCCCGGCAGAGAGGGCCTTCTCCTTGGTCTCACTTAGAAGAGTGGGTGTGACCTCAGCTATCTGTCTTGCAGAGGGTTCAAATAGGACTGTACTGGCCACTCCAGGAATGTCATTAGCACACAGACCTCCTGTCCAGCCCCGTGGGGCATCTGATGGATTAGTTAAGTGTTTGGGATTTGAGGACAGAAAGAAACCTTTCCATTTACCAGGTTCCTCTTCAAATGGTTGTAATGGCCGTAGCTGGGCTCGTCCAATCTGGGAGCCAGGAATTTGTTCATAAGCCAAGGACTTGTGCTGTCCTTCCTGTGGGGTGGATTGGAAAGAAGCATCTGCGACTGGAACCAGTGCCCAGATGGGATGCTGCAGGCGGAGGCTTAGCTGGCTGCACTGCTGTGCAAGCCTCCAAAAACCTGCTGTCTTAAGACAGACATTCACGAGGGAAAATACTGTCCTGCTGGTGCCATGGTATTGGAGTAATAGGGGGCTTGTGTGTGTGAGCACCTGCTGTGGGCATACACTGCCCCCCATCCTCACGGTGCCCACTGGCAGGGGTACTTCTAACCCCTGCACTGCAAAGGAGGGAGCTAAGGTCGCGTGGTTGAGGACATTGCACGGGATTGCAGGAAGTGGGTGGCAGTGCCTGTGACTTCTTGGTGTGTGAGCTTGGCTGTCCTTAGCCGTGGTGCTGCTGGTCCAGTGTGGCAGGGGGACACAGGCCAGTCTGGCTGGGACAGAAGGGGCCTGAGCGAGCCATCCTGGGAGGGAGCCCGGCTCTGGCTCAAGTCCTGAGCCTCCTTGTTTATTTCTTAAAACTCCTTTTTTTTTTTTTTTAATGAAGGAGAAAAAAGTTGTTCCAAGCAAAACAGGATAAAGCCCAGGTGGGGGTTGGGGGAGTGGGTCCTGGCTTCTCCCTCGGAAGGGGTGTTTTTGCCAAGCTTTAGGGTGGCTGCTGAGAACAGAGGCTTTGAGGAGTCACAGTCCTTGCCCCATCCTGGCTGCTCCCATGTTGCCTTGCTTGTCTGAGCATGGTGCCAGAACATGGGGCCCTTCCCTCGGGTCTTGGAGACATAGCAGGAGGGGAGCTCACTCCCTGTGGTTCTGATTGGATTTTTCCAGCACGGGAAGCAGCATTCCAGTTGGCCGGTTTGGCTCCTGGATGGCTGCTGTGAGCCAGGCTGCCTGGTGGGGTGACTGGCTAAGGTGGAGCCTGAGGAATACTGGGGATTACAGTGGCCACAATGTGTACTTCCTGCCAGACCCCAGCCTTGCTGTGAATCCCTCTGCAGGAAGCAGGGTTGGAGGGGGAAAGGGCAGAAGACCCTTCAGGAGGGCGGGCTGGAAGTCCTTGGGGTGCCGGGGTGTGAGCACCTTCACCAGGGCCCACTGCCCGTGGTGCCTGTGCACTGCTCACCTGTGCCTGCTGACGCTGTGGCTCTCGGCACACCAGCTGGAGGCGAGCCCGTGTGCACAGTGCCCCCTGGGCTGGGAGGTGGCACTCAGAGAGCAGGTCCAGGCTGGAGCTCGTCTCCCCTCCTGGTTGATGGGGTGGTCTTGAGGGACCTCCTGCATGGCAGGCAGCATTTTTGGATCTCCTGTTGTATACTGAGTACTTATGGGGCTCCTGCCTTAGGATTAGCAGTTACAGAACTCCTAGTGTCCCTGGAATTTGTGCGCTTCTTGCTGTAATCTGGCATTTAATGAGTTGCTGATGTACACCTGCATGCTCCAGAACTCTTGCTGGATCCCTAGCATTTATGGAGCTCCTGCTGTATGCCTAGCCTTGTTGGTGAGCGCAGAGGTGGTCACCAGTGTGCTACATCAGTACAGTCTGAGTTGGGAGGGTGGCTTTGCAGGGACTGTGTTGAAGGCGGTGCAGAAGCATCAGTGGAGAGCCCCACAGGTGCAGGGAGGTGGAGGAGGAGGACTCAGGGCGCGCTTGGAAGAGGTGGAGGGGTCTTTCTTGCTAGAGGCTTGGGGGCCTCACTGCTTGTAACTCTCGGCTCCTGTCCTCCAGATCTCCGGGTGGACCCAAGCCCTGCCGGACATGGTGGTGTCCCACCTCTTTGGGAAGGTGAGTAGCACGGCCTAGCGCCCTCTTGGCCATATAGAGCAAATGACTGAGTCTCCTTGGCCAGGGGCCATAGGGCTATTTCCATTCCAGCTGCAGGATGTGGAATCGGAGACTGAATGATTGGCGGGGGGGAGGATTAGAACCCGTGAGTTCGGGAACAGAGTCCACTGTAGCCACTCCAGGTGATGGCCTGTGTGGCTCCACTCCTGTTTGGCTCTCAGTTGGGAGGGTAGGGGGCAGTCTGCAGTCTCCTACCCTCCCCCCACCAGACAGGCAGAGCCTGCCCTCTCCTGGTAGGCAGATGGTGCCAGTAAGTCCTTGTGCCCTCCAGCCTGGCCTTGGCCTCTGGGTTTGTATCTGTAGCTGGCACCAGCAGCCCCAGCTGAGGGGGGATTGGCCATAAATTCTGATACTGGGCAAGGACCTGGAAAACCCCTCAGTTGCCTGACCTCGAGCTGCCCTGCCCTATTGCCGCTGTGTGGCCTTGCGTGAGCAAGGGTGACTGCCTGCCAGCCAGCATGTTGCTGGGCCATGGCATTCCGCTCTGGAGCTGGGGAGGCGTGCACATGGAAGCAGTCCTTGCCTTAGCTGCCGTGGCTGCTGCCACAGAGGGGAGGGCTCGGAGCAGGGTGAGGATGCCCGGCTCATGAGATCACGTAGCCTGGCCCTGCCAAGCTGCTGCAACAGGAGTCGACAGCCATTAAGCCTATAGCAGGCAGGTTTGTATGTTGATAGTCTTGCATGGCCTGTGAGTGGCGTTCTAAGTATTTCGGTAGTCCCTGGCAGGGAAAGGTTGCCAGCTTTGACTCAGGTCTCCAAAGACAGGTTGCTCACCATTCTGGAACTACGGCCCTGGAGTCAGGTATCATGGGACTTGAGACATGAACCCATGATGGCTGTTCCCAGCTGCTGACCACTCACGCCAGTCTCTGCCCCCAACTAGCCCCGACTTTTCCACATCTGTCTGAAAGCCCCATGTCTGTTCTCTTCCATAGCTTTCCATCAGCTCTCAGGGCCTCTGGGGTGCTTTGCGAGGTCTCATCGTGAGATTCCTGAGTACCTTTCCCAAATCAGTTCATAACCTTCAGGTCCAAGAGCAACTCTTCTGGGGGTCCACTCGGGTCTTCCTTCTCTTTCCCCCTCAGCTATTCATGTCCAAAGTAGGCAGAAATTTAGGGGATTTCAGAGCCCATGTCTCTTTCCCTTGCAGGCAGGGCATCGGGTAGAGCACAGAACGTCTCGATGGCACCCAGGGTTCCCTGGAGATCAGGCCATCAGCAGGGTGTTCACCAGCATCCCCGGGTCAGATTTGGACCTGAAATTACAGCAGGGTTCCTCACACTGGCTTGTCCCAATGCCTTTGTGTGACTAGCCGGTTGGGGTTCGTGGTGGACACAGTGTGGCTGGAGCTGTGCTGGCTTGCTTCGCATCCCGCTGTGCTGGCGCCTGGTACATCAGAGCCTCGTGCGTACTGCAGCATGCCCCACTGCTGAGCCCAGTGGAAGCGGAACTGGCTCCTCACTTGGGGCCTTGCCCCAGCTCACACTAGAAAGCACCCCAAGCGGGGCTGGGCCAGGGCCACCCTGGCTGTCCTGAGGCCTGGGGCAGCCCTCCATGGCAACCGGCAGTGTCCTCTTGGCAGCAGCTTGCTAATACATTGGGTTGATTTTGTTTCTTGTGCAGGAAAAGCAGGTTTTTAGCTCTCTCCGTTAGAAGTCCACCTCTTGGCAAAGGGCTTTTCAGTGGCAGTTCTGGTGAATTCCACATAGGGGGATGTGGAGAATGGAGAGAATGGGGAGTCAAACAAGAGAAGTGATTTCCCCAAGAGAGGGGCAGCAAGGGAACTGGTCTCCCCGCTGTCCAGTGGGAGCCCGCCAGGCCAGCCCTGATCTCCTAGCCTTGGCTCCCTGTCTGCACCAGGATGTGGAAGCATGGCTCTCTGGCTCGCCCTGTGCATCGGGCCTCATTAGCCTTCCTTTGTGTCTGAGCACCGGCTGGCAAGGGGCAGTGAGCAGGCCAGAGCCACAGCACAGTGAGGATCTTCCCCACCCCTTTCTCTGCACGCAGGAAGAAATGCAGAGCAACGTGGAGGTCGTGCACACCTACCGCCAGCACATCGTGAATGACATGAACCCTGGCAACCTGCACCTGTTCATCAATGCCTACAACAGGTATGGGGGAGGCCCTCGGCCAGGTGGGTGCTGCTGCTCGGCTCCAGGGTGGGTCTGTACTGTGGAGGAAGGGAGCACAGGGCTGCTGAAATGAGAACAATATACAGGCCAGGGGTGCCTGATATAAAGACCTGGAGGTGGGAGTCGGACCTGAGCTACTGATCCAGCCAACTGGGGGCGGTTGTGCGTGGGACCCAGGGCCTACGCTGAATCAAGGGGTGAGTGTGGCTGACCTTCAGGAAAATGCCATGTGTGAGATGAGCTGGTGTGCAGCTGGGTTCCCTGGAAGGAAGGGAGGATCCAGGCCAGCTCTTGCGAGGCAAGTTAGTCATTGCAAATCAAGGAGGTGGGGCACAGCCTCAGGAGCTCAGCCATGGCCAGGGCTGGCAGCCAGGGGTTCATGAATCTTCCAATGGGCTCATTTAGCCTGCTAAAATCACTCACTCTTCCACCATCCCTGAGAAGGGTTCAGGAGTCAGCCTCCTAGGAGTTTCCTCTCCTCCAGTGTCAGTAACCTGACTTGATTTGTCTTTGGAACAAAGTCCAGTGTCAGTTTCCACTGGTGTCTCAGCATGGGAGAGCTGGTCCAGGCTCCGGGCCTCATGGGCAGCACTGGGAGCCCTGCAGACCAGAGCAGGGCACTGCTGTCTCCCTGAATGCCCACAACATGACATGAGAGCTTGCTGGGGCGGTGAAGGCACCGAGGTCACACAGCTCGAAAGGGGCACAGTGCCAGGCTGGGACCTCAGCTGCAAGGGCACGGGGTGCCGGGGACACCTGGCCACCCAGGCTGTGGCAGAGGAACCATGGAGGTGTGTCTGAGCCAGGTCCTGGCTGCTCCACAGAGAAGTCATGGCTCGTGAGGGAGAGCGCTGGGGAGGCTGGGCTGCCCCACGCAGCCTCTGACAGGTGGACAGGCAATGAACATGCTGCATGAATGATAACAAATCATCTGAGACAAAATGAGATTGGCTCCCTGGAGATGGTCCAGTGTTACTGTCCCCAAAACAGCCCCCAAGTGACCCCCAGGGGACCCCACATAACTTGGGGATGTCGGGGTGTAGCTCTCTCGGCATGGGGTTGGGGATGTGCAGCTGCTAACAGTTCTTGTATTGTCGCAGCCGGCGGGACCTGGAGATCGAGCGTCCGATGCCGGGCACACACACCGTCACCCTGCAGTGAGTAGCTTTTCTTTCCTCTGCCACCTGTGGTGGGCCATGTAGCCATCCTCACTTTACCTCTGCCTGATGCGGGCCGTCCTGGGTGTAGCCGGATGGCCCTCCATGGGTGATTCCTGGGTGGTGCGTTGTGGTCACTGGCACCTGGGAGAATTCTCTCTGGAGACAGAGCTCTGCCCAGCCCGACCCAGTTTCTCCCCGAGTCCCTCGGAGTGACCTTTCCACAGCAGAGGGCCATACTTTGGACACTGTTTATGAAGTACCTGCTGTGTTAGGTCCCAGGATTTTCTTCCCAAAGCATAAAAATGAGCAAGCTGGGACCCATTCTTGGAGCACCGTTTCCATTTGGGCGGGAGTGACAGCATGGACCTAGCTCATAGATCCCCCAGCAACCACAGTGTCTCTTTGTGGCTCCACACGTTCACCGCGCCATGTGATCCATGTGTCCTTGGCACATGCCTTTCCCTTGTAGTTTGTGCCATCCTCGAGTTCCTCTTGGTTGTCAGCAGAGCCCTGCCTATCCTCCCGTGAGACCATGTTCTAAAATAAGACTGTCAGGGCACGGGACTTACGTGGCTGAAATTCATGCTAAGATGTACATGCCCACTGTCCCTTTTCTCCTAAGAACAAAGCAGAAAGGGTTGGGAAGATGAACTAGAGCAATGGGTACTATGAAAACCATCATCCATTTTTAGGGCACTGGTCCCAGTCTGGGAATGTATGACTCGGATTCTGAACCTTGTGCCAATCACCCCTGCTCTCTCCCTGCCCACAGGTGTCCTGCGTTACTGGTGGTTGGAGACAACTCCCCAGCTGTGGATGCTGTGGTATGTAGGATCAGCCGATGGAGTCAGTCACTGGCCCAACAACCCGTCTAACTCTGTTAGGTGTTGTCCTACCCCTAGCTACTGCCAGACCAGGTGACATGTTTGAAGTGTTGTGCTGCCATTCAAATGCCGCTGGGCAGAGTCCCCCACCAATCTCTTACCCTGTTACCTGCCATTCCTGGATGTTTGGCCTTTTCCCGCCACCAGTCTGCTTCCATTGATTCATTTTAGAGGCTTGACGTATCTTGGCTTCCTGGCCTAGAACCTTCTCTTCCATTTTGGAATCAGGTGGTTCTCCTTGGCTTGATGGTTGCCTGATAGTCTGGCAGGGGCCCAAGGCACCTGGGCAGTGGGGCTCAGGCAGGGCTTTCTGACTCGGCGCATGCCATGTGTCCCCTGTGCACTGCTGTGAAGGCACAGAGCCTGACTTCCTGACTTCCCTTGCCACTGGATGGGGCTGCCAGGCAGCTGATGTGTGTCCCAGAGCGGCGCACACCTGGAGGAGTGCAGCAGGCTGCCCAGAGGGACGTGCAGACACGCATGTAGCAACACTTGTTGCAGCATAGCTGGCTTTGAGTTTCTTACGGGCCAAGCCAATAGACACCCCCATCCAGGGAGCTGCTGGTTCTGCCCTAGGCATTCTGATCATTACAGATGACCTATGGGTACTCGACACAGTGCTGGACACCACTCTGACATGGGTCCAAGGGAGAGGGAAACCAGCTTGGGGCGGTGGTGCGGGGACGTTGACTGTGTACAAAGCATTTGTCAGAACAGGTGTGTGTGACCTGCAGCGTCTGACCCAGCTGGGTCTCAAAGGCCTGCACAGAGCAGGTGCTTCTGCAGCGTGGTCTGAATTTTAACTAAGCTGTTCAGCTAACCTTTGAAAAATGACATTTTTTTCCCATTTTATTGAAGGGGAAACTGAGGCTCAGAGAAGTTTAGGAATTTTTCCAAGATGACACAGCCACAAATAGGACGGCTGGGATGTCTCCCTAAACCCAAGGACTGCCTTCTGTGCCAGTTGGAATGTTGCCATTATATGAGTGGCACAGTGCACAGTAGCATAGGGGTGAACAAAAGTTTTAACTTGGACTGGACTCCAGGTAGAAAATTAACAAATATTTTTGTCCTTGTCCAGGTGGAGTGCAACTCAAAACTGGACCCGACTAAGACCACACTGCTCAAGGTACAGGGGACAGGGTGGGGACATCTGTCCTTTTGTAGAGACACCCAGGCATTCTACAGCATGGCCCTGGGCTGGTGAAGGTGGAGCTGGTGGTCAGAAACTGCAGAACCAGCAGTCACCTCTTCATGGGGACCAGCCAGTGTAGTCAGGCAACGGAATTAAGAGACTCCATCTGGCTCTGACCACAGGAGTCTAGGGCTGCTGGACCTAGGGCTCTGAGGAGGGAAGGATCAGAGCTGACTTGGCAGGGGTGGGGCCAGCATGCTCCTCCCACAGGGGCTGTACTTGCCCGATGCAAGCTGACATCTCTCAAGGTTGAGGAAGAGCAGGACTTTGCAGCAGGTTCTCTGAGCACCTGGAGCACTTCCTGTCTGGGAGCTGGGTTTGAGGAGGACCTGCAGGTGCCTTGTTGGTGACCAGCTGAACATACACTCAGAAGCCAGAGATTCTTGTAGACCTGACCTAGGACCCAGTACAAGAAAGGGCCCTGCAGCCGTGGAGTACCCCCAGGAGGCACTTGCGAGAACCTGGGGTCGGGGGCAGGTGTATTCATGGTTCCCTCAGAGCCCCCTGCCCCAGTAGGAGGAGAGTGCCTTAGAGTAGCACTAGCTGAGTGTCAGATACTTGTTCCAAACTGGGCTCTGCATAGATGTTTTCTTTCAAGTGTCCATCCAAAGGATGGGGTGAGATTAGAAGGTGCTGGGCCTTGGGCTGCTTAACATGTTCATGCTTTGTGGGTTTCCAAACAAAGTACCACAGACCAGCCTCCTTAGAATGCAAGGAATCTAGTCCCTCCCAGATGTGGAGGTCTCAAGGCCAAAGTCAAGGTGTCAGCAGGGCGGTGTCGTCTCCAAGGCTCTTAGGGAGAAGAGTCTGTTCTGGGCTGCCTTGCATCAGACCCTTGGCCCTGACTTGTTTCTCTTCCTCCTAGATGGCAGACTGTGGCGGCCTCCCGCAGATCTCCCAGGTGAGAACCACCCCGTCTTTGGCCACCTCTCTCTCCTGCTGGGGGCAGGGGCCTCTGCCCACTGCTGCCTTTCCCCTGACTGTGGCACTGGAGAACTGTGCACACAGGGTACAGTCTGGGAAAGCTGCTCACTGGATCCCCCAGAAACCAGCCTGAGTGGGGGTTTAAGAAGACTTTGGAAGATCTGCCAAGTAGACACAGCATGGTCTCATGGATGAGGATCTAGATGATTCTGCCCCAAAGACCACAGCAAAAGGGCCTCCCCCAGGGAGAGCAGAGGTTGGATCACACAGAAATACATCCTTTAATGGGATGTGTTGTCGTACAACTACTGACCTTCTCTTCAGGGTCCCTCCTACATGTAACCCCCACTGACCTAACACGTGAGCTTTTCTAGCCATGTTCTGTCTTTATATCCTCATAATGTTGTTTTCTATCTTAGTGTGAAAGATCAGGTGAATTACTCTTTCCCTCCTTCAAACCCTGTGCTACCTTCTCTCTCCTTCCCTTGTTGACTTGAATGAGAACAGAGCTATCTCTCACTGTAAGAAAGATGCTTCTCAGTGCATAGCAGGTACTCAGCCAGCACAGTCTTCCAGGCTTCCATCCCAAGGAGGCCCTGTTCTCCCCTTGGATCCTCATGGAGTGAGTGTGTGCTTCGAAAGGATTTCCACATCCTTGGTCTAACTGGCTCCTTACAGCAGCAGTAAGTGGAGCAAATGTGGTGTCTTAGTATTACAGACGCCTGAAGTGATGGCCATGCCACCAGAGAATCCCAACATTCTCATTCCCTGGCCTATAGTCCGGACTTCTTGAACACACAGATGCTCTCTGCAGCTGCACCTGCTGCTCTGGCCTCTTCTCTTGTGGTGCCAGCCTCGGGGAGAGGGGGCAGTTTGTACATAGCCACTCCTTCCAATGCCATTGGCTTCTGTCTGAATTCTCACTGTTGCAGAAGAGAAAGACCCAGTGCACTGGAACTGGGAGGTGGGGTCAATTAGAGGTTGTCCATGTGACTCTGATACTTCAGGGTTCACTTCTTGGTTCTGATTAAAGTCACATAATTTGAGTGGAAGTAGCCCAATTAATTGATTAATTGGTGTGTCAACCACCTATCCTTCCTTCCTTTTATCTTTCTTCCCTGTCATCATTTTTGCCTACTGATCCTTTCTCTTGGTCTGCCAGGAGAGCTGTGGTTTTTTCACCTACCCATTTGTCCTTTCCCCTGCTTCTCTGCCTTTTTCTCTCCTCCATTCATCAATCTGTCTATTCTTGCATCCATCCCTCCACCCTCTTTCCTTCCCTCTCTTTATGCCCTAACAATCCATCCATGCATCCATCCATCCTTCTATAGTTAATACCTTCTATCCACCCTTCTATCCATTCAGCTTCATTTTTGCCCACCCATCTATCCATCTATCTTGCCTCCTGCCGGTCAGCCATGCTCCTATTGAGGACTTGAGAGACTGGCTTCTGAGTTTGGAGAGGCCTAGGGGTACCCTCAGGACCCTCCATTTTCTTACCTGCTAGCTGTAGAGCCTGGGGTGGGTTATTTGCTATTCCAAGTCTGTTGAGCTGTACCATGTTCATCAGATGGTACCAGCCTTGGGAGCAGGTGGTCAAAAGGAAGGAAAACATATGAGAGGTGTGTGATATCGGCACCATTGTCCCCGAATGCCCAGGTGGATGTAATGCCTCATCTAAAGTGGTCTCACCAGAGACACCTGCCCTAGGCAGGGGACCTACCCCTGTGTCTCCTGCAAGGACAACTGGCTCTTGATGGGTTGTGCTGCTTGTTCCTCCCAGCAGTTCATTGCACACGAACTATTCCTTCCAGGCAGAGTGAATTCCAGAGCCCACATTCTGCCCATCAGTCTCCCTGGTCATCTCTGCTTTGTCCCCTCAACACATGATGGCCTGTGTCTCAGGTCGTGCTCTCCCTGGAGGGGGCTCTGTCTGGCCTTGGGCTCTTTCCTCACCCTAGTCCCTGACTCTTGTCTTCTCTTGCAGCCAGCCAAGCTAGCCGAGGCCTTCAAGTACTTCGTGCAGGGCATGGGATACAGTGAGTATGGGGCTTTCCAGCAGGGATTTTTCCAGTGGGGGCAGATACGGGGGTGGAAAATGCCGTGTCCTGAGCCTGTAACAGTGGATGTTCTGCCGCCAGCTCTGGTTCTCTGCAAAGAACAGGCGTGTGGAGGGCACATGGCAATGCGAGGGCCATGCCTGTCCCTCCTGGGGTTCAGCTGTCACCATTGTGTTTGTCTTTCCCCTTCTTTGGGCTGGAAGTTTTCCCACACCAGGGATTCTTTGAGGTGTAGGTGAGGACTGTGCTCTTAAGCAATGAGAAGGTGAGAGGCAGTGAGAAGATAGAAATCCTTTTCATGTCAATTCCTTGCTTGCTTAAGAGACCACCAGTGGTGGTGCTGCTGAATGGGGTGGTGGTAATGGAGAAAGAGGAACAAGTCCTCCCTTTGTTTCCTTGGAACCATCACAATGGTTGCAAGCGATTCCCCCCCTCCATTCTACACATGACAGAGCTGAGAACTTGCCAAGCTAGTGTGGAGCAGAGTGGGGCTCTGGGACAATTCTCTGCCAACTGAAAAGCTTGTTAGGTGGGTGGAGAAGCTGCACGGGGTCACAACAGAGCGTGTCTGCTAGGCCACAGCCATGGGGACTGAAGGTTGAGCAGGTGCACCATCAGGGAACTTGCCTTTCCTTGCGTCCTGGCTGTAGTTTTATGACTTAGACGCACACGGGCTATGTGGGGGAAGTGGTGCGCAGTGACCGGGACAGATGATACTGAAGGCAGACGGTCGGTCCTGATTGGCCTGGAAACCTGTGTTCCCGAGTCTCCTGGCCTGCTGCTTGCCAGTGTGGTGGGTGTGCCATGCTCAGCCAGGAATGCAGTGAACTTCCAGTCCCTCTTATGGGGCACTGTGTCTGCAGGGGCTTCTTGCCCACGCAGCTGCTGGCCATGTGGGATGTGTGCAGGTAAGGGAGGTACCTGGAGAGACGTGGCCAGCATCCCTGGTTGGCCTTTTAGGGTGGAGATTCTGGCTCCTTGAATCTGCTGTGGGCCTGGGTTTCTGCTCTGAGAGTGTTTTCTGAAGGGGAGAAGGGAAGGCAAAGTGAGGCCCTCCTTCCCCTCACAAATGAGCTTTTCCAGGAAGCCAGAGAAATCTGTAGACCTGAGGGAGAATCGCCGGAAGAGATGCCAATCAGAGAGCAGGAACAGTCACTGAGCTTCTGCTCATGATGGTGGCCTGGTGGCTAGTTCCCACTGTCCTGGCAGCTTTGCCTATGGCTATTGCCTGGAGAGGCCGACAAAGCTTCCCAGCTTTGGGTTTAAGAAACAGGTGCAGGGAAAAGATGACATGAGGTCCACCCTGGCTTCTTTCTAAGAAGGGAGTTGGTCCAGCCGGGATAAGCCTGGGGTGTGAGCAGCTGTGGGGGAGAGAGCCAACCTGGGCATAGGACCTCTGCATGCCAGGGACTCTTTTGGCCATTGCTCAGCAAGAGGCTGCTGCCATCACGCTTCCGTGGCAGGGGCTATTTTTGTGCTAGGGCAACCCTGACCATTCCCACAAGCTGGAGGGCATTAGCCTGTCTATTACTAGACTCGGGATAGCCTAATCTACAGTGGCCCTATGCAGAAGAAGTCTGCAGTCACACAGCTGGGAACCATGTGGCACAATGAGGGGTCAGACCCACACCTGGGTTCCTTCCCATGTAGATCCCTCCCCCAGCCTGTTGGCAGACACAGGGAACCCACAGCTGCACTGCCCCAGGGTAAAGGCAGGACGGGGAGCGTGCTCAGCCAGGATGTGCACCATGGCTGCTGGTCAGGTGCTCCAGGTCCCCTGCCTGATCCAGAGGAGTCAGCCTTCTTTTGTGTCTCCGCAGTGCCCTCCGCCAGCATGACCCGCCTCATGCGGTCCCGCACAGCTTCCGGCTCCAGTGTCACCTCCCTGGAGGGCTCCCGCAGCCGCTCCCATACCAGTGAGGGCTCCCGCAGCCGCTCCCACACCAGCGAGGGCTCCCGCAGCCGCTCCCACACCAGCGAGGGAGCCCATCTCGACATCACCCCCAACTCGGGCACCACAGGGAACAGTACCGGGCCCAAGTCCATGGAAGTCTCCTGCTAGGCGGCCTGTGTGACCCAGGACTCTGAGCTTGGAGGCAGCCCCTCCCTGCACCCCTCCACCCATCCACCTGCCACCCACATAACTCCGTATTAACCCGAAGCTTATTTTGTAAGCACGAGCTCTGGCTGACAGATGGGGTCTGTCCAGGGAGGGGCAGCGGGGGAACCATCACAGTGTCCTGTTGCCAGTGCGAGTGGCCAGTGCCCAGTACTACTGCCTCACCTAGCCTCAGCATTGCCAGAAGTCCCAGAACAAAAACCACAGGGCAGCAGGCACTTTGGGGTCCATGCCTGGGCTGAGTTCCAAGGGAGTCTGTCAGGAGCCTTTCTGCTTCATCTGCACCCAGGCCCACCCCAGCCCCACCGCAGTCAGCCCCTCCCTGCCCATTTCTGGGCAGCAAACCCTGTTCTGACTTGGGAAGGGGGAGGGCAGGTGCTTTTGTTTCACAGACAAAGCAGGAAGGCAAAAACACAGGTGGAGCTGATCCCAGGCTGAACCTGTTGGAGAAGCAGGTCTACGCAGTTAACTTGAAGAAGCTGAGGTTCAAGGTCGGCGCCCCTCTAAACTGTCGGGTGCTGAGGCAGCCAGCCTGTTTGCTGTGGGGCTCATGCCTAAGTAGGGCAGTAAAGCCATGTCTTACAGAGGCACAGTTTGGGTCACTGTCTGGCACTGGGGCTTTTTAAGGCTTTAGTTCTGGTACTTGCCTCGGCCACAGCCCCGGCCTCCCGAGCCCACCAGGACGGGGTTCTCTCTTTCCTTCCTGGGAGGGGAAATCATGAATTGGGTTTGTGACACTCCCTGACATGGAGCCCAGCATTGTAAGCCAGCGGGACCACTGGGAAGGGGCTGGGATTGGGGGTGGGAATTTTGGGGGTGGGTACTGGTTGGGGTGGGTTCCTAGTGGTGGTGACAGAATCCTGTGTTGTGGTGACTTCAGTGGGTCCTGGCCTGTTTTTCAGGAACCCTGTGATTGAATTCAATCCAGTCTCCGATGTTCGGGCTCTGGGGTCGAATCTGTACTCAACTGCTGTACATGGCTAAGCAGGTCCCACTGCCATTGGGACTTTGTATAGAATGTCTGCCTCCCAGTGGGAAGTGCTGACCAAGGAAATGCAAGGACTCTGAGCCCTGGGACTCTCCTGCCTTCCCCTCTTGCTGGGCCCCTAACGTTCCTCTGCCGAGTGGGGCACACAGCACCCCTGGCCTTCTGGCAAGGTTGGCATAGCTGTCAGGTTTCCCGTACTACTGCCCTATTGATTTTCATTTTGGCTAACTATGGATTTTCTTCTAGGAAGTTTCATCAGACCAAATCGAACATTGAGTCAGCTGTGTGGGTGGGCCTGGTGATTTTCAGGACCCTAGGATTGGTAGAAGGAAGTGGTCCAACTCCCATCTGGCCAGAGAGGCCATGATTGAGCGTATTTACCACTTACCCCCTGGCGGGGAGGGCAGGGGGAGGGGTCCCTTAGCCTTGTGCAGAAAGATCCAGGGGTCGTGTCAAGGATGGCTGGGTGTGGACCCGAGACTGCTGTGTTCAGGCTTTCCAGAGGAGTTTCTTAATGAGATATTTGTATTTATTTCCAGACCAATAAATTTGTAACTTTGCAGTGGCCCGTGTCTTCTTCCTCTTCTACTTAAGAGAGAGAGAGAGTGTGTGTGTGTGTGTGTGTGTGTGTAGTGCTGAGGTGGAGGGATGCTTCTCTCCCCTTGAGGAGGCTACCCGGCCTCCTGGCACCAGCCCCACCAGTGATACTCTGTGCAATGGAGCAGCTGTGTTCCGGGAAAGCATAGTGGCAGCCACATATGTGACCGGCCCATTTCTAGAGACCTCATTTGGGAGTAGACAGTTGTAATTGACTTTCATAAGCTATTGTGTATAATCCACTGTTATTATCCAATATACCACAGGTTGAATGTCCCTTTCCTAAAATGTGTGGACCTTAAGTATCTCTGGATCAGGATGTGCCCGTTGAGCATCCCTAATCTCAGAATTGAAAACTCAGAAATGCTCCCAAACCTGTAACCTTCTGGATGTCACGGAATCCTGCCCCATACCCATGAAAAGTAGTGAGCGGAAGTGGCATTGTGCCTACAATGGTTAAGATGCTGGTGAAGACACCCTTTCCTCTGCAGGTGCCTGCGTTTGCTGTGCAGCTCTGGCTCCCGACTCGAGCTCCGCACTAATGCAGACCCTGGGAGGCAACGGGTGATGGCTCCAGTGGCTGGGTGCCTGGCACCCCCGTTGCAGAGCTGGTTGCTTTCCTGGCTCCCAGCCTCAGCCCTTGCCTAGTCTGAGCCATTCTGGGCATTTGGGGAGTGAGTCAGTAGATGGTACCTTGTCTCTATCTCTGCCTCTCAAATAACTAAATGAGAAATCCACCATGTGTTTCATACTCAACAGTGTGTCTCAGTTCAGATGAGTCATATTTGAACTCCCCATGAGTCTGGACAGACAGTGGTAAAAGGATAAAGCTGTTAGTTTCATATATATTTTATTAGAGAAAAGTGTGCAGCAAGATCATGTCTTTGCTCATGATGAATGACAACCATGACAGTGTTCAACTTCTGCATGTCCGAGAACACCATGGGCAGCTGTTTGGTGCCGTGGACAAGATGTTGCATCCCAGCTCTGCTTCTGTCCCAGCATCCTGCTGATGGCATCTAGGAAGGACAGCAGATGAATGGTTCAAGGACTTGTGCCCCTGCTATCCACGTAGGAGACCTGCGTTGACTCTGGGCTTCTTGGCTGGCCTGACCAAAGTCTGGCTGTTGATGGCCATGTAGGGGGTCAGCTGTGAACAGATCTGCCTGTCTCTGTATCTCAACTATTCAAGTAAAAACCCTGAAGTTGTGCACATGTCCTAGAATTACATTTAGCTTTCTGTTTAGGATTGGCTTGAAATCCACCCAGTAGTTACAGATAGTGGGTGTCGAGGGAACCCTTCTAACCAGAACTCAGCTTCCCCTGTGTCTGACATCTTTCATAACTGGTCCATTTGTCATGAGGAGGGGCTGATGTGGGAACATGACTGTTACTGAAGCAAGGGCTTTCCTGGGATCTTGCTGCTTCTCCTTGATATTCTTGGTGTGTCACCATTTCCCATCCAAGATGCCTTGTGACACTGAGGAGCTGTGTCTTCTCAGCTGCCTTTGACCTGTCATAATTTCTCAATAGTTGCCTTGTTCCTGGAGAACAGCCCTCTTTGGACACTAGCATGTTATTGATTATACTGGACTTACGTACTTGTAGGAAGAGTTTCCCAGCCTTGTAACACACCGTAGACATCTCCAAGGTGCATGTGAGGGTACAACCAGTAATGGGCCATGAGCTGAGGGCCTGCTGTTCAGGAAATAAGCTCAGGATTGTGAGAGGCCCTTGGACCAGCCCAGCAGGGTGCAGAGGCACTCCCAGCATAGGAGGCAGTGTGGCACTGGGCACAGAGGCTGGATGCCATCAGCTTTACGAGGAGCCTGCCATACATATGTGCAGGTGGCCACAGCAGGACGTGAGGCTGGAGGAAGAGTCCTAGGCAGGGACTTGCCAAAGGGAAGGAAGGCACCTTGGACCCCATTGAACTGTGGGTAGTGCCTCAAATTGACCAGAGAAGCTTTCAGAACCCACAGCATACTAGGAACTAATAAAGGAGCCACTGTACGTGCAGTGGAATTATCCGAAGGTGGTGTTTGTATGGGGTGGGGGGTGACGTGGGCATGGACACCACTGGACCGTTGCTGTTGGTGGAAGGGGGCTTCCAGGAGTTATGACGTATCAGATGCTATTTGGAGATGGTGAGCTTGGAGGCTGTTGTGCCAGCTAGGTGTCTATTTCTGTTCTCTGGGCTGCTGCTTTTACTTTCAGATCCCCTAACTTTCGGTCTCATCTGCATCTGGGAGGCCAATTACACAGAGGTCAGCCCCACAGGTGAGATCTGTAGGGACCAACAAGGCTTCCACCTACCATCTTTCTGACTGCCCGTGCCCAGACAATATCTTGCAGTGCAAGTCAGTGGAATGGTCCCTCAATGAGACCAACGGGACACCTGATCCATGTGGCGAGGGGTCGATCTTGGGTTTTTTAAGTGACTTGGGGACCCTTCTACAGGTTAGTATTGTATACAAAATGAGATCATTGAATCTTTTAAAAATCCTTATTTTCATTTCATTTGGAAAGCAGAGCTTTGGAGAGAGAGAGGCAGAGAGGAAGAAAGAATCTCCCACCCACTGGTTCACTCCACAAATGCCCACACAGTCAGGGCTGGGCCAGGCTGAAGCTAGAAGCTCAGCTCTTAACCCAGGGATCGCCTGTGGATGGCAGGGACCCCACTGCTTAGGCTGTCACTGCTGCCTCAGGGCGTACTTGAGCAGGAAGCTGGAGTTGATGCCAGTGCAGGCATCCCCAGTGATGCTTCAACCTGCATCAGCAGAGTTTTTGAGTGGCCCTTTGGAGAGACTCTTACAGTGTGAGCCCTGACAGGGGCTTTGTGCCAACCTTCTCATCTTTTTGCAGGTCACTTTTGCTCAGACTTGCATTGGGAACGAGTTCAGGCTCAGCCTTTTTTTGTTGTTTTTTGTTAAGATTTACTTTTTTGAAAGGCAGAGCTACAGCAGGCGAGAGGGGATGGTGGTGGGAAAAGGGATACGGGGCGTCTTCCGTCTGATGATTCACTCCCCAAATGGCCACAGTGTCCAGGGCTGGGCCACAATGTCCAGTCTGAAGCCAAGGGCCAGGAGCTTTTTCTGGGTCTTGCACACCATGTGGATGCTAGAGCCCAAGCACCTGAGTTGTCCTCTGGTGCTTTCCCAGACGCATTAGAAGGAAGCTGGGTCAGAGGTGGAGAGGGTGGTACTTCAACTGGTCCCTGTAGGAGATGCCAGCGTTGCCATCTATGCCATGCCATTATGCCATGCCAGCTCCTCTGCTGGATGTGTCACACAAGAAAATGCTTCATAATGAAACACTCTGACTGTTCCTTCCAAATTCTGTGTTCCTAAAGTTGCAGTGTCTTAGAGCTTCAGGAGTTCCCCCCAAAGTCTACACACACATTCATTTTCATCCAGGACACCCACACGGCTCCACTCTCTAACTTCTCATTTTGAAACAAACGTGCTTCAACATACAGGTCTTCCTGGAAATCACTGGTGTGGCTGTGTGTCCGTGGGCAATGATGTGCAGCATGACTCTCGTTGTATATTCATCGTTTCTAGCCACCTGTACATCTGCTCACGCAGCTGAGCAGCGACTACCTCCTGGGCTGGCTTAGGGAGTGTATGTCACTATCCTTAGAAAGCTGGGGTTTAAATCAAACTACAGTATGAAATATGGTATCAGAAAAATCAAAAAATCAAGGACTCGGTCTGAGATTAAAGAGCATTCAACTGGATATTAGCGTCATTTTAAATTTAGATAATTTAGTAAACTTAAGTTTACTTTTAGATAAAGGTCGAATAAATATACAAGCTCACTGATAGGGATTCTTCGTAGAACCTTGGTGGCCTCTCGGGCGTTAGGGAACGGGGACTGAGTCCCAGGTGTGTCACCGAGTGTTGACAGCAGCCTAGCTCTATTGAAGCCTCCTGCAGGTGGCACAGATCACACCACGAGGCCAGTTCTGTTGCTTTCTGCATTTCACAGGAAAGAAAGAGCACAGTTGAGCAGTCTTTAGCCAGAGTACCTGGAATACAAGTGCTTCTGGGTCTAGATTCTTAGGATTTGGGGATATTTGCCTGCACTTGTCGGTTGCCCCTGTGTCATTTGGAAATCTAAACTCTGGATACCCGCAAAGCTGAAACGTCTTGAGCATCCCTTTTAGACTTTGGGACATTTCAGATTAGGGCTGTTCAACCTATGTGTTTAAGTCCACTCGGCCGTGTCAGGCAGCCTCCCTTACCCCTGCCTGTGCCACCCAAGGTCCCTCAGGCAGCTGCAGTAGACAGGTGCTGGACACTTTGTCATGCAGTCATAGTCAGTCCCTGACCTCCAGGGATCCACTTGGGGTTAGAACGACCTTGAAGAAATGAATGAGGAAGTGAGTCAGTGCTCCACATTCCACTGCGTGTTTGCGTTCTGTGTCGTTCAGCCTCAAGGCACTGGCAGCTCTGATCTCCGAATTCTAGGATTTCTGTTTCCAAGCCCTGTCTCTGAGCTTTTAATCTATTGTTATTTCCTTGGGTAACACAGCTAGCTGCAGCTTCCACCATGTGGGCATTTATTGAATATGTTCAATGGTCCCCCAGCACCTCCTGCTAACTGAAGATGAGAAAATCTGCCACATCCGGAAAGCTGTTTTGCTGATGATTTATTGCTTGAAATAGAGAAGTTTGAAACAGAGGATGCGAGCTACAAAAATCCTTCACATTGAACAAACATATTATGTGTGACATAGATCATGAGAAAAACAGGGAATGCTATGAAACCTGGCAGATGGCCCGGGTGCTGTTTGACCCAAGTTGGAACATTCTAAGACATTTCGTATTTTGGTCACTTACAAAAATGGCAGTAGAAATATTTAACATTACATCACAGCTTAAAAATAGATTACATATACATAACACACGCAGAGAGGTACGGAAATACACAGTGAGCTGACCATTATGGCTCACTGCTAGGCAGGGTTATCACTGTGGTTATTTTTTTTCATCAACATAAGTATTTAAAAAGTCATGACATCATCCACAGCATGGTAGGAGTTACACTGCTGGGCCCACAAGCCCTTCGGATGCACAGCACAGTATCATCGGAATTACAGATGGATTGGCTTTCTTCACTTACTGTCTGAGTCACCTGTAGCTGGAATGCTAGGGATTGTCGGTGAAGCACCTGTTGGGAAGGTTGTACCTCTCTGCCATGAGGCAGGAGAGCTAGGCTTAAGTCAGGAGAGATGGCTCAAGGTGTCAGAGAATCCTGGGTTTACAATGTTGCTCTGCCCCTTGCTGGCTGGAGTGACCTTGCACAAATGACTTAACCTCTCAAACACAGCTCTCCTCTCTAAAACAGGGTCACAAGAACAATGCCAGGCCTGGGGTGTTGTCCAGAGGGTTCAGTAAGATCCTGAGCAAAGTGGCTACTGTAGGGCCAGCACTCAATGCTAAGCATTGACCCGACAGATGCCCGTAATGAGGTTAGGTAAGCTTGAGCAAGAGCCAGTGGCTTGATGAATTCAGAGCTTTCGCCTTCCTCACCATGGCAAACCAGAAAAACTCATTCCAATTATTAATGTAACTTTTCTTACTTTTGTGTCAGATCACAGAGTTAGGAGGAACAGTGGGGCCATGAAGAACACTTGGCCTCTTTATAGCCCCTGCCAATGCGTTCTCCTTTGGGGTCAGTCAGGCTGTGCCTCAAGGCCACCAAAAGTGAGGCAGAGGAGGTTCAGGTAAGGTTAGGCTCCAGCCTTGTATCGAGTGGTGTTGCAGGCTCCTTGAGGGTCAAGTTTCTCCAGATATGAATGGAGAAGGGAAGCATGCACAAATGGCTCTGATAATACAACAATGTAAAGCTTAGCATAGTGCTTGGCACCAAGGAAGCACTCAGTAAATGGAGTGCTTTTCAATGTGGTTGCTCTTCTTAGCAGGCCACACTCTGGCAGGACAATTCTGACTTGCCTGAAAGAGCTTCATTGCAGTGGGTCCAGTGCCTCCTCCTGACCTCTACCTGTGGATTCGAGACAGGCCCATTTCTTAGAGCCAACAGGAATTGGAACATTCCTCACCCCACACCCTGCCTGCTTACAGGATGAACCCCAATTCCTCCAACCAGGCCTGGAACCAACTCGGGAGCTCTGCCCAGACTCCACTTTAAGGATGCTAATTCATTCAGAGCTGGGTTCTCTGTTAACTTTCAGATGGAAGCAGCTCATTTCCAGCTGCTTTACAGATGTTAACTATTGAAACAAGAAGAAAACACAGCGTCATTCATGCAGATGAGACGACTCGTCTGGTAAATCCTCCTACCGTGAGAACTCTTACGTGTTAGCAATGATGCATTTCTCTAACATATCAATTATTTCTTTTCATTTGGTCTTTAAGATAAGCTTCGGGCTGAGAAAAATCAGATGTTCATGCAACTCTGAGGGAAGATGATTCAAAGTAGGAATATATACAACATCTATTCAACGGGTTCATATTGAGTACCACCAAATGGCTTGTGCTAGGCTAGGCTTGCCGGAGGTTGCACTAGGAAGGCAGAGTCCCAGTTCTTTTTCCTGGTTAGGACTCTGCCTGGTGCCCCTAAGTCCTCATGGATAACAGCACATTGATATTCAATACACAGTGTTGGATGGACAGTCGTTTCTGAATGCACGAAGCAAGCTGATTCTGATGCTGAAGATGGGTGGAGATCTCTAAGAGCTGGGTATATCTGTTCCCTCCCTTTTGGGTATACATAGGTACCTGAGGCCAGGAACACAGCCTGTCTTTTTTGGGAAAGTGAGCTAGAAAGCCAGCAGTAAGAGCAAAAAGTGAGAGTAAGAAATTGCTGGTCTGTAAGCTTTTCTAACTGGACATTTTGGAAACCTGACAAGAAGGAACAAAAAGATGAGCCCTCAAGTTACTCCATCTTGGGTTTGAAGCCTACCTGCCTCACTCAGCAGCTGGGTGACTTTGGTCCTGTCTCCTTGCCTTTCTGAGCATCCATTTCGTATTTGTAAGAACAGAAGTAATAACAGCATTTGCTGATGTGGCTACTGCAATCACTGAGCCGTGAAAGGTAAAGCACCCAGAACCGTGTCAGCACGCAGAAGGTGCTACAGAAAAGAATTGCAATTGTAAAGACTATAGTTTACTAATAACGTCAATAATAGCTTCATTTCCATTAAGAATGGCCTCCCCTGGCTTTGACCATCAACCCCCTTTGGGTTCTGACTTCTGCTCAGCTCACATCAAGCTTCTGAAGACGTTACCTCTGTCTTCAGACCACAAAACTTTGAACAGCACAGCCAAAGGCATGAAATGGGTCCCTGAAGTAGAAACAAATGTGTCCTGGTGCTTTGTGGTTCTGCAGCCTTCGGCTGGAGGCCACCCCAGGCTGAGGCAGGCTGGACTCACTTCTTGAGTGACCTAAGGCACAGCTGTGCCTGTCTCCCTCACTTCAGCTGGGTGTGGTCTAGACTTTGGTGGAACCCTCCAAGACTCCTAAGAGTAAAGGAATGTTCCAGGCCCCACCCTCCAGGAAGTCCACCAACTCCTGCAAGCATCTCCCCAGGCAGGGAGAGTGTTGGGATACAAGAAGGGCCCTGCCCCCTGCTTGAAGCCCCATCAGTCAGCAGCACATTTGATGTTAGGGTCAATGACAGCTTCTGAACTTGGCTGACCTTGCCCTACATCCGGAGTATCAATTGGGGGTTTTTCCACCCACATGAATGAAATTTGTCAAATAGCATTTCTCGCTGGGATACACACAGTGAGGACTCTTCATAATGCTGGAGTGAGGAGAAACCTAACTTGCAACAGTACCCAGGTTAACGGATGCAACTTCCCATTAAAAATCCAACTCAAATAGCTACTTATCTCATATAGTAAATGCTTGGTGATGGCGGAGGGCAGAAGTCTTTGGCGTCAGAGCTACCCTTGGCATGTGATGGGCAGCACTGCCCATTCAAGTGCCACTTGGCAAGACCCAAGTAACAGATTATTCTGTTGCTGTGAAAATGCCCATCCTTCGGAATGGGTCGCAGGGGTTCTGTGGTTGGTCCTCTAAAGAAGGAAATAATAGATTGGAAGTTGGCTTGACTCCATTCCTGGAGACTCAGACAAGACCCAGCTGGACTTCCAGGGATCTGGGAAGGCTGGGTTAGATATGGGCTTTGTCCTGAGAGGCTAGACTCAGCCATTTTCTTTGGGGTAGATGCAGAAGGCTGCTGTGGGGGAATTCCACAGTCTGGGCTGGATCAGCACTTTCAGGGGTCATGGGATGGTTGAAGAAAGGAAAGGAGCCCCTGGGTCATTGTCAGGGTAATGGGGAGTAAGAAGTTGGCAAAGGAAGACTCAATCATTGACCAGTGACTGGCCACAGAGGGCTGGCTACTTTGAAAGACCTAGGCCAGACTCTGAGCCTGCCTAATTGGCAATTTCTGTGAAGTCAGGATAGGATTCCAAGTCGGCAAAGATGTCATTGGGATTCCTGCAGGTCAGGTTGCAGAAACAAGCATTAATCCACTGCACCTGGCGGGAGAAGCCAGGCCCACTGGGACACTGGAAGGAGACATCGATGGTCTTGGACTTGTAGGGTATGCAGCACCTGCCATCCGTGCAGACCCCACAGTATTTGGGTTGGTAGGAACGGGTGCTGACACAGCCTGCGAGGGTGAAGTTCATGGGTTCCTCAGGTTGGTACACTGCCAGACACTTTTTCCCTGCCTGCAGGAAAGGAAAGGCACACTTTGAGTTGATGTGCTCAAAGGATGAGCAACCATGTCTTATCTCCTAAAGCTCAACTCTCCCTCCTCGCATGCTTCACTTTCCTTCCAGCTGCACAAGCATCTTCAAGCAAGGAGGGACTGTGTGTGACAGTTACACCATGCAGGGACACGCAGAGGATCCCAGAGGAGGATGGCTTTGCTTGAGCTACGTCTCCAGGCCTGCAACTTCCCTTCTCTTCTGTGTCTCTGCCTTGCCAGGACCCAATCGCTTATCACAACCTCATCAACACAGGGAGTAGAGCCAGTCTGAGAACTGCACAATAGCAGTCACCTTCGTCCTAACTTCGCTCCCTCACTGCCCCTCACAGCTTCTCACACATCCTTTTATCATTCACCTGGATGGAATGCATCTAAAGGTGTATGAGCCCTTTGAGACTGGAGGCTCTTTCTGTGTCCCTATGTATGTTCCATGCCTTATGCATTTTAAGCATTTAGCAAACTCATTGCATGAACGGATCTTGGGGTGGACTGCACACTGGGTCAGAGCTTGGCGTACAGCAGAGGTGCAAGTTACATAGGGCATGTCATTTATGCAATTGGAAGGTCCACCTAAGACACATAAATATGGGAACAAAATGGGGTAGAAACATTAGCCTGCAGTAAGAGATCTGCAGCAGCTTTGTGGGAGAGCCATCTCGTTCAACTGGACATCTTTGCTTCCATTTTTTTTTTTTCTGCTGGTGGTGTTTTCTTTTCCACCCATGATTTTAATTAAGTGACGTCTACTGAAGACCATTATATACTGAGCAACCAAAACAAACCCAGTACAGTGGGAGAAAATGCACGAAGGAGGACCAGCAGAAGGAAGAGGACAGATAGATCCAGTTAACTCAGCAAGAGATGACTGGAGAAGCTGTCCAGGAATCAGAGAACAAAGCTGGAGGTCTGCAGAGAATCATGGGAAGACGGGCTGTCTCTACTGGACAGTCCAAGAAAGCTCCCCAAACAGAGCCAGTGCCTGGCTTTGTTTTGCTTTGTTTTTGATGTGACACTGGGTGGCCCAATGTAAAGGCATAAGTGAAAAGGCCTTGAGTTAGGCAGCTAAGATCCAGGTTTAGAGCTGAGGGCTGGAGCTTGGGCTGCTGTGACCCAGCTTTGTTTTAATGAGCATAGACTCTCAAAGCTGGAAGGGATTTGAACAATCAAGCCCAATAATTCAAATAATGAGGGCCTGAGGCTCAGGGTTGGAGACTGCCCGCAGCCACACACAATGATGGCAGGTGGGTGGCTTGACCCAAGCAGCTGGAAGCCTGCTGAACGCAGCTCCTATCAGTGGACCTGACTGTCTCATGCTCCAGTGTGTGGGCATGGGAGGGGAGGGAGAATGGGCATGTGGGGAGGCCCTCAGCCGTGACAGAATGATCCGAAATGCCGTGGTTCTAGCACTCAGCTTCTAAAGGGTGAATTTCACCAGCCTGGTGAGCTGCGTTATTCCTGGTAACTGTGGTAGCAGACCCAGCAGCCGAGCTAACTATTTCCACCACAGAAACGCCCTCCCCCTGCTGACCCCAAAGAAGTTCAGGAAGTAGGCTCAAGGCCAGGTTTGTCTGCCTGTCAAGTGCAAGAGACCAGCCCCCAGTCTGCACCAACCTTGATGTGAGAGCGGATGTCCATGTCACAGGGCCGCAGGTTGCACAGACGGCTCTCCTGCTCGGGCCAGCACCGGGCGTTGGCATTGGAGATCCGAGTTGAGATACCCAAGCCACAGCTGGTAGAACAGGGGCTCCAAGGGCTTGTGTAGGCTATGCAATTACTGTGCCATGGTTCCACATCGCCTGCAACCACTGCAAAGACACCACATTCCCCATGAGGCTCCAACCCCAGTTGTCTCCAAACCTTCCGGTGCCACATTAAGGTTTGGGACAGGGAGCCCCTAAACTTAGGGAAGGAGCTGGGCTGTTCCTCCGTGCGGGAGAGCTGGTAGGCTGCCTGCCAGCCCAGGTGGCTCCCTGGGGCCTTCTGCTCTAGGGAGGCCACTTGAAAACATAGAAAGTGACTGGTGGGCCCAGGGTCATCTCCTGCGGTGCCACCCACAAGCTGTGTCATCTTAGCCTGCCCACTCTGATCTCACGCTCCTCATGGGAATGACACCAGCTGCCTTGCAGGGCCAGTAAGGCAATGATAGACTCTAGATTTTGACTAGGTGTGCCAAGCATCTTGTTGGGTGCTGGGCACAGATGGCTAAAGAACCGCAGAGTCTGCCTCTGCAGAGGTCCAGTGTACTTGGGGAGAGGTCAAAGGTGACACCTGACATTCCATCAGAGCAGGGTTGGGGTTCTGAGTTAAGCAGACATCCAGCCTTCTGCAAGTCAGGTGCAGTCAGCCTATCTATAAGGAGCTCCTATCTATAAGGAGCGGAGCTTTCAACCAGCTGGCTGTCATCTTTCCTAACCATACCTCCCACTACACCACCAAAAGGAGATGCCTTCCAGAGAGGAGTCAGAGAAGATGCCTGCACACATGTGAAATGTCCAGCTGTCACTGCCCTTCAGCCCTCAGTCAGCTATGGGCTTGAGTGGTTACTTGACTGTTGGCCAACTCCACTTTCAACTCAGGTGGTTCTCCTGATGTGTGCAATTTCAGGACCCAGAAGGAGGAGGGGCCAGCATGGAAAAGGGTAGCAAGCTGGAGACAGAGGCAGGTGAAAAGGCAGTAAGACAGATGCCGTAAGATAGATGATGCAGTTGCACAAGGCAGCCACCCAAATCCCACTGCAGCCATACACGGGCAGCGTGGGCAGGGAGAAAGGAGCAGGCAGAGGCAGAAGAGACAGACAGATAGATGGCAGAGAGTAGAGGGGGAAAGGGAAGGAAGGAGGGAGGCTGGAACCAAGGTACCAGGGAGGGAGTGGGCAAGAGAGAGGACAGCTAAAAAGCTCAGGAGAGAGAAATCTCAGGCTTGTCAAAAAGAGAGAGAGCAGGGCTGGTCAGCATTGCTGGTTGAGTCTCCCCGAGAGCATGCATGTGTAGGGAGCACTGAGGAGTGAATGGCAGAGAAAGAAGTGTCAGAGAAGACAGGAAAAGGTAGAGTTCAGTACCCAAGGAGAGCCAGGCTGGGCTGAGCCAAGGCCAGGGGAGGTTGGGCAGCCTCTCTCTCAGAGGACCCAAGAGCTTCCTTTGGTTCCTGGGATGCCTGGGCAATGCTGCTAGGGCTCAGCCTGTGCTTGGCCACTACGTGGTCACTGGACCTGCCCCCTGACAATGGGCAGATGGCTTCTGCCTGTGTCCTCCCCAGCTGCCCTGGTCTTGCTGGGAAACAGGCTGTCTCCCTACAATGTCACCTGGATGCTGTCCTTGAGGGCTCAGTTGGCAATTTGTGGGGCACTTGGGGGTTTCAGGGCCAAGGGTGCTATTGGCACGGTATGGGTAGAGGCCAGGCACAGTGCTGAACATCCCCAAGGGCAGGCAGCAGTTGCCACCACAAAGTACCCAGTGTGAAGTGCTGACAAAGCTGAGAAATTGCAAGCCTCTGAGCAATCCCATGTCCTATGCGAAAACAGAGCCAAAAGACAATTCTCTTAGAACCCCAGAGGTTTTGTCTCTCTCCATTATTCCACACCCATTCCTTTGCTAGGTTAGGCCTTTTTGTCTGGAAATGGCACCAGTTGATCCTGGTCTCCCTCCTTGTGCAACCCCCCACAGAACAGCCCAGCCCCCCTCTTTGAGTAGCATCCCTACACCACCTCACCCCGCCAGCTCCAAGCAGGTGACCTCTGTGCTCTCCCCCTGCCTTCCTCCTCCATGGCTGCCCCCACTGGCCACACCTCTTTATGATCCCCTAGGCAGGGCACCTGGCATCACGTGCAGCCTGTCTCACTCCATGAAGATCCTTTGGACCCCAAACATGTTCCTTCCCTTGCATTCTATCCTGCGTCGTGACAAGTCCTGGGTGTCGGCCTGTATTTTTCACCTGTTCCTATGCACTGGGTAGATACCAACGTCTTCAATCTTACGTGAGCAAAAACTCTTGTATCTGCTTCTTTTTCAGCACAGGAATTATTCTACCCACCAAAATAGTTCAAATCAATGTTAGGTCATCCATCTGTTCCACCCATTCATTCATCCATTCATCCATCTTTCCATCCATCCATCACCCATCCACTCATCATTCCGTTCATCATCCATCTGACCACTTACTCGACTCTCCATCCATCCACCAATGTGGCAAACACTGAATGGGTACCCACTAAGTGTCTAGTATTGGGCTAGGCTCCAGTGGGCAGTAGTGAGAAACAAACCCACTACCTGAACATAGCTTCCTTTTTCAGGACTCCCAGTTTACCTTGCTGAGACCTCATTTGCCACCCATTCTCCACTGCAGGTGGAGTCGGGGAGGGAGAGGCATTCAAGTCATCATGAAGCCTCTACTGGACTGGTGCTCTCCCATCCCTGCTCTTGCACCTGCCCCATCACTTCTTCCCTCTCTGGGGACATGTCTTTCCTCTATTCCCACCCTAAGTTCTTTATCGGCACAGGAAATGGTTACTGTGTATATAACTTTGTTCTTTCCCAAGCACCTCTTCATTTTATGCGTGAGGCAGAGCAGATGGTATTGTTCCCATTTTACCTTACTTCTGGGAAATACGATCCCAGAGGAGATGTGATGGTCCCTAGATCACACAGCTGGTAAGAGGTGGACTGTGGGTTGGACTCAGGACTTGCAGTTGCTCACAATGTGGTCTTAACCTCCCCTCCCCCAGTCCCATGCACTGCACCCACCAAAGGCAGCGGTGTCACGGGGTGTGGCCTTGCGCGGCCTCCTCACATCGTCCTCGCAAACCCACTGCTCACAGCAACTGCCAGGCACGTTCACTCGCCGAGGGCGGTGGCACCAGAGACGCGGGGGTGGCACGCTGAGACACTGCGGGGTGCAGCCCACGGTGCCATCGATGCAGGTGCAGTTGTACTTGCAATTAGGCTGGAAAGACTCGCCGTTGTTGTAGCGCACTCCATCCAGGATACAACCCACGCCGACCACCTCTGCAAACAAGGGGAGGGGCAGATCAGGCTGGGAGGTGTACTCCCTGAGACCTCCAGTTGCTGCACTGCACCCCAAAGCCCACAACCCCAAATCCCTGTGGGATTTCTGCCAACATGGGGAGGGGCACCCCAAAGCCCAAGGCAGAGAGATGCCAAAGGGTTGGCACCCGGAGGACAGGGATTCGGTCAGACCTGGGCATGGAGAATGTGACTATTCACCCACAGCTTCAGCTGGCATCCACTGAGGGGGTTATGGGGGTGCAAGGACTGAGCAGCCCCCAGCAGGACCCCAGGAGGCTTGCTCATGAGCTGTTCCTAGCACCTGGCATCAAAGCCTGATGCCACCAAGGCTCAGCATTCTGGGTAGACAAAGTGAGTCAGAAACCTTTGAATTAAGTATTTATTGAGTGTTCTAGGTGCTGAGACCTCACCTGGAACGAAGTAGACAAGAGGTGTGCTTTCAAAGAATTTACACAGCAGAGGGCTGTGAGGCCCTTGGCTGTCTCTGTGTGATGTGTACATGTGAATGTGAGTATGTGTGAATACTGTGTCTGTAGGAGCACACGCACAGATGTCAGTACATATTTGAGTGTGACAGTGGCAGTGCGTGTTGGACATGGAGAGAAGGGTGTGGGCTGAAGCCTGGGACTGTGCCCTGTGTGTGGACACTTGGACGGGGACATCAGTGTAGGTGCCTGACCATCATTAGCATGGTGATCCTCATTCTTGCCACACAATGCAACCCCTTGAGGAGCTGTTAAAATGCTCAAAGTGCTGGTATGATGGTGCAGTGGGTTAAACTGTTGGCTGAGTTGCCAGCATCCCATGTGGACATCATTCTGAGTCCTGACTGCTCCACTTCCAATCCAGCTTGGCATTAGTGCATCTGGAAAAACAGTGGAAGATGGCTCAAGTGCCTCGATCTCTGCCAGCAATGCTCACTCTGCCTCTGTGCAACTCAGTCCTTCCAATAAATACACAGATCCTGGAAGACACTTCCAAGCCCACCATGCGCCAAAACGTAGCAGTGAGCCTGGGTCCCTGTGATTTTTTCATTTGAGTCTCTCTAGTAGTTTTCGAATCTCTCCAAGTGAACCAAACTTGCAACCAGTGAAGTGAAGCAGTGTGACTGGACGGTCCTAGAGTCTCCTCCAATCTTGGGGCATGGGCTGGTGTTGCTGTGGCTCCCATGGCCTGTCCATCGTAGGCAGGTGGGATCAGTGAGTGTATGGTTGAGAAGGATGCTACCCACGGGCTCTAAGTTCAATTTCTCATCACTCTGACTCCCAACCATCAAGACACTGACCCTTGGCAAGAGAGTAAGTCAGTCCAGTTTCCTTCACAGCTCCTAACTCATCTCAGATTTGCAAGTCTGGGCACGACCCAGTTAGCTTTCCTTTTACTAAAGGGCTCCCATGATCTCAAGCCACCACGCTCTGCCAGTGGGGTGGTGTTCCCTTCAGCATGCCGCGATGGTCTGGCACCTCTGAGAGAGAACAGCAGTGTTCCAGGCTTTGTTGTAGCACTCTTATTGCACTGTCTCTCATGCAGGTCCACTGTGTGAGTGGATTGTGAGTGGAGAGAGAGATGGATGAATTAGATGGGTAGATGGATAGAGGAAGGGAGTGAAGGAGGGAGCGATGAAGGGATGGATAGATAGGGGGATGAAAGGATGACGGGATGGAGGGAGGGGTGGCTAGAGGGATGGAAGGGTGAGTGCACGGCTAGAGGGAGGGAGGGGAATATGTGGGCTAGGAGAAGCAGGGACAATCTTTATTGAGCTCCTACCATGTCTCAATCCCCTGTCACCCCAAGAACCCAAAGGGACTGGCATTCTCTGCCAGTTTGCTTGAGGAAATTGAAGGATAGCAGTTCCTGCCTCCAGTCACAGCACCAGGTAGGTACACTGCTTGGAGTCAAAGTTGGGTTGCCCTCCTCCCTAAAATGATGCTTGACTTACTATTCCCTCCCTCTGCAGACTCGGGTCTGGGCCTGGAACCAGATCTGCCCTCTACCCTGGGGACGACAGTGGACACGACAGAGCTGACCACTGCCAAGGAAGCTGAGAGCAAAGTCAGCCTCTTTCCTCTGTATTGTGCTGTGTTTATACCACAGCACTCCCGGGAAGGTGATCTTATCAAGGTCTCTCTGTGACATGCTCATAGTCACGTAGCCACTGGGTGTATCTAAAAGGCAAGCTTGTCTGCCTTCCACCAAACCACATTGCCCTCAGGCCTGACCCGGCTGCCCGAAACACAAACTGGTGTTTATACAACTGAAGTAACCCAACAGTCTCTTTCAGAGGTCGCTCTGCCCACAGACGTATTTAATTTGGCCTGCAGAGTGCCTTTTTTTTTTTTTTTTTTAAGTTCTGGATGTATTGCCAACATCTACAAACCACATGCAGAAGTAGATTTTTGGATCCCCCTGCAAACTGAGTAAACTTCATGAGCTCCAGCTCATTTCTTCGCTCTGCCACAGTGGCTGAGGCCAGTAGGGCAACCTCTGACGCCGGAGTCCACTGTCACCGCTGTCTGGAGGGGTATGTGGTAGGGTTGGGGCGCTTTTTTGGTCATTGCCTTGTCCCGGCCTGCTTACCTGTGAGTCTCCAAGAGCGGGTTTAGCCTTTTGTGGGGAGTGTCAATTGGTTGAGCTGACCGTTTGTGTGAAGGTTGTCTGTTAGGGGGACCCGATTTCTCCTTCCCTGGGGTCCCCAATGCCTTCCTCTCTAGTTTTGCTTAGTTACCTAGCCTCTTGCCTTGTTTCTCTAGCAGCTCATGGACTGATACCATGGCAGCATTTCTGGAAGCTTGTTCGATGGAATACGTGGGGGGAGGGTGTGCATGAGCATGTGGCATTTGTGGGGCATGCTTGTTGAAGTGACAGGTGACAGTCTGTGGACTGGCACGAGTCTAGTGCTCAGTGGAGCTGGAAAGGACAAAAGCTTCTTGTAATAGCTCTTTTGCAAGTTGGCAGGAACCATGCACATATAAAACCTCTGAAGTCTTGCAGTATTTATTGAGATTCTTTCTTTCTTTCTTTCTTTCTTTCTTTCTTTCTTTCTTTCTTTCTTTCTTTCTTTCTTTCTTTCTTTCTTTCTTTCCTTTCTTTCTTTCTCTCTCTCTTTCTCTTTCCTTCCTTCCTTCCTTCCTTCTTTCTTTCTTTTTTTTTTTTCTTTTTCTTCTTTCTTGGAAAGTCAGAGAGGAGAAGAGACAGAGAGGAAAATCTTTTGTCTGTTAGTTCACTCCTCAAGTGGCTACAGTGGCCGGAGCTTCTTCTGGGTCTTCCATGCGGGTGCAGGTCCCAAGGCTTTGGGCCGTCTTGACTGCTTTCCCAGGCCACAAGCAGGAGCTGAATGGGAAGCAGGGCCGCCAGGACAGGAACCTGTACCCATATGGGATCCCAGAGGATGCAAGGCAAGGACTTTAGCCACTAGGTTACCATGACAGGCCCGAGATTTATGTATTTCTGTGTCTGCAGATTTCTATGAGCATGACCAGGGACATAGCATATCTAACGCCTGATACCTTGGTGAATGTCATAGCTAACACAGTCTCCCTCAGTTCATTGACGGGGAGAGACAGGGGTGAGGGAGAAGATGCAGAGGCTGAAGGGAGGACCGAGACAAGGAGGAGAAGGGAGGATTTCTTTTCCAGGCCCCTGGTGGAGAAGGAAGACTGCAGAGGCCGTTTAAAGGCTCGCATGATGTCTGGGTCTAGGAGAGAATCTCCATGAAGATGCAGCACCTGTCAGGACATGGTATTAAGCCGTCTTGGGGTTGCCAGTCCCAGTGGGCTGCATGTCTGTCTTTGTGGCCTTGAAGAACTGTTGGAGAACAGAGAGGAAGTGACAAGACAGTTACATAACTGGAGGGGAGTTAAGTGCAGGAAGATCAGGCCAAGTTTTCCCTGTCTAGGTTACAGGCGTGGGAAGCTGACTGCACAGTCCGTCTTGAGCATCAGCACGCGTAAGAATCATCTGGGCACAGTAAAGGTCTACATTCCCATCCTCACGCCCAGGGAACTTGATTGAACAAGTCTGGGCCAGGACACTGAAATTACATTTTAGATGAATGTATCAGGTGAGCCTAGGAGAATGTTACCACCAACTGTCTTTGAACACACAATTTTATGGGGCCAGTAATGAGTCTCATTAAAGGATACCCACTGGGAAGAAGGAGTGGGCAGACTGCAAAGCTGGACTCAGGACTTGGCAAAGATGAAACACAAAGCAATGATTAAAGACAAGGGAGTGTCCCGAGGAGCACAGGCTCACATAGCTTTGTTGTTAGCTGAGATTATCTAGAGGGATATATATATATATATAGAGAGAGAGAGAGATAGAGAGAGAGAGAGAGAGAGAGAACAAGGAGAGCTAAAGTTAGGGAGGAATCTTGATCTAGCATTGGATAAAGAAAAGGCTCTTGTGTTTATGAAACACTGTGGCACCATGACACCTAGTCACCGCACTTTATCATGCTGGTTACATATTTTAGATAATACTCAGATGCTTCAGATAAAGAAAACTACAGATTAGAGCAAAATGGGAGATCTGAATGTCCTAGAAATAAGGTCTCCGGGGATGTTTAAAAAATGTCCATGGTGCGGCATGTGAAGATGAAACCGATAGAGCTCTCCCTCCAAGCATGAGGATGTGGCAAAGACTAAGAGCAAAGAAAAAGCAAAGGCAATTAGAAACTCCAGGGAAAAAAAATCACAAGGCAGGAAATCCAAGCAAGCATACCACCTCATGTGCAATAAACAATATTTACATAGTCATAATAAAAATACAGGTGGTTGTATCAGCAGACATCATAACAATCATATTTGAAAGATAGGTTTGGTGGTATTATGGAGGTAAGCCATTTGTTATCGTCTAAGAATATGACTACTTTATCCAGATTTAATGTATCACGCTGGTTAACATAGAGCAGAAGTCGTATATCATATAGTTTGTTACTATGAGAATGGCGAAAGTTACAAGCATAATAACCAGAGAAACAGACCGGTAGGAAGGGATGTTTGTAGACATCTGGCTTTCATTGTTTCAAAACTAGTGAATTTTTAAATTGCATCCTGTTCATGTCTAGTACTTCTAAATTATCTGGAGCTCTCCAGTGTCTTGGTATGTTCTGGGATGCTATGGGTATTCGTACAGAGACTCAGGGCTGTGAGTGTGCTGAGGGAGTGGGGCCTTGGGGTAGGGCTGGGGTGCCAGGGGCTGCTGAGAAGGTATGGAGGCTCTCACTTACGTGCACACACTCCTATTGCGTACCTCGGGTGGTCCCCGCTGTAGTCACAGTACAGGCCCCGATGGGGGTCACAGACCGCAGCCTCTGTGCAGTTCTCCCCAAGCTGATGGGCACACATCTTACAGCACTCACAGCCATCCGTGATGAGGCTGACCCCCAGTGGGCAGCGGGGTGGAGATGGCGGGCATTCACATGGCCACTTGCAGAACTGGGGTCGGGAGGATGCGTCCTCCTCTTGTGGTGCTGGGGTGAAGGCCATGGCTGCGGACACTGGGATGAAGGCCTGTGGGGCAAAGAGCAGAGGTGAAGGGGCTGCCGGGGCTGAGGTCTTGAGCCCGGAGGACTCTGCAATCCAAGTCTGTTTCAGGGGGGCTAGGACACTTTCAACACGTTGGTTCCTGCAGCTGTGCTTCCTGGAGTGGAGCATCTCCTTTCCTCTCAATAATAATCACAGCAACAATAATAAAAACTGTGCTGGGGAGCGCAATGTTCCAAGAAGTTTTGCAAATTGCTGGAGTCCTGCTTCTGCTAAGTGCTGGGGCATGGTTTTACCTGAGCCCAAGGCTTGCTTCCTCCTTTACTGTCCTTTCAACCCCCTAAGGCAGAGGACTTGGCCCAGTTTGCAGCAGGCACCGCCAGAGCCTACTGATGGGCCATGCTGCTGGGCAGCTATGGCCCTGTGCTCATTGCTCAGTGCCAGATCACACAGGCTGAGCCCTGCCTGTTTAGTCCCTGGTTTACACCAGCGCACTTGTTATCGCTATTGCTTTCCCGTGAGCCTGAGCAGCCTGGTGGGCTGCGGCTGCAGGTGCATGGCTCCCAGCTCCTTGCAGCTGTGGGGAAGCAAGCTGGGTTCCTGTTGCCTGCACAGGCCCTGCTTATACTCAGGATGATGGACCCTTCTGGCCATAGCTCCCCAGTAGCCCCTTCCCCATCCTTTAGCCTCCACATGTGTTTTCTAATCTGGCAGACACAGTGAATGGAGCATTGGACAGGTGGAGTTGAGAACCAACGAATGGAGGTGTCTGGCATCTGAGTCCAGGAGCTTCCAGCTGCCCTTCTCCCTGGGAATCTGTTACCTTACTGGCCCCACCCCTGGGATGGTTTCCTGGAACATACACAGGGGGAGAGCTGGAGCCAGGCTCCTTGCCATTTCCCCTTCCTGGGTGCAGAGCCTGCGGCCCAGGCTCTCTGCCATGATGGCTGAGCTCCTAGTGGGTAGAGATGAGGGCAGAGTTGGCTCACTCCCGCGTGATCTACCAGCTCCCACTCGCCCAGCTCCCACTGTCAAGGCATTGGGGCCTGGGCTCTCAGCTCCAAAGAGCAAAATCTACTGCTCACACACTCAGCTTCGGCCCTCTGGTCCACTAAGCAGGATGCTGAGACCTCAAGGTTGATACCACTTGCTGATGTCAGCCAGGCACGGGGGAGCATTGTCCTGCTCTCCACCATGTCCTTCCAGTCCCTCCATGGAAGTCTGAAAAGCCGGTCCAGCGCCTCCCCAAGCCTCAGCTCCTGGGGGCTGCAGCTCCTGGGGGCTTCTGCCACCTCCAGCCTTGACTTCAGCCCTGTTCCTACCTTAGGGCCACCACCACATGGCCCCCTTTGGCCAAGATGCCCTTCCTGCCCCTCTCACTGCCCCCTGAGCTACCACGGGCATCGGGCTTTTCCCTCGGCTCTGTGTACATGGGCGGTGGATGTGTACGCTGTTGGTGTGACAGCCAATGTCTGCCCCCTCTGCAGGGACAGGGCCAGAGGCACGCTGTCTGTGCTGGGGACAGGCAGGGTTGGTCTTTGGCGAGGGCAGAGGCGGGCAGTGGAGAAAATGGAAGCCACAGCCTTTTCCAGTGCAATGGGCCTCTGTGGGCAGTATGGCTTTGGGAGTTGTGGCTGACAGGGGGGAGCAGCACCGGGCAGCCTCACCTAGGAGGCTTAAGCCTGCCTATCCTTATTTCATCTTCCCAAAATCATAGCAGAAAGTTCAAGTCTCAAGTTAGTAAAGCCACACACACACACCCTCTGTGACTCCCCTGGGAGCCTTTGCTAGGCCGAGGTCACAGTCCCTGGAGTTCCATGAGCACCCAGGGGCCATGGATCTGGTATTGTTGGCAGAGGAAGGAAAGGGGCCTCCTTTTCCAGGAAGCCCTTCCTGCCTGTAGCTCCCCACCCCAGGAAAGTGGGCCTGGCGCAACACGTGGGGCACGCAGCATTAAGTGTTGGGGCAGTGGCTGGGATGGGAGGATGCTGACACATGTGACCTTCAGGAGGTCATCAAGGAGGTCATGACCTGGAACCTCTCCTCTCAAGCCCTGAGTTTGGGTGTCAAGAAAAGAATGTGGGGGCTGAGGTAGTCACACATGGGTTCTTTCTGTGTGGCTAGACGAGCATCGCCAGTCTAGAGCCCAGCATCCCCCCTGCAGCATGGGCACAGTGACACCTGCCAACAGAGGCTGCTGGGAGGGTACAGAGGGCATGGCGTGTGCAGGAACCGCAGAGAGGGCCTGGGCATGCGAAGCCTCAGAAGTGCGACCACCTGTGTACCAGAGAGGTTGGCATCCCCTTGCCCAGTCCACGGTGTCCAGCACAGGGCGTGGTGTGCACATTTTTGGGCTGAGTGGGGACGGGCTGTAATCCAGTGAGAATTCCACTCTCCCATGGCCCAAGTAGCTACAGGAAAATCCCAGCCCAAAAGCAGATAAAGGGAAGCTACAAGAGAAATGCTTCCGCTTCTGGGCTCAAGGCCTGGACCACTAAGCCCTTGCTCTTGGCGCCATCTAGTGGTCACAAGCCTTCCAGGCCCCGGCCAGCAAGAGCAGCAGTTGCAGCAGCAGGCAATGAGCAAGCCCTGGAGGGGCACAAGTGTCAATGACAGGTGGTCTGCGAAGAGGGCATCTCTGTGGCCGTGTCAGCTGGCAGCCGTCGCCAGCGCTTCCTTCCTGGGCTGGGCTTGGGCATTGGCCCAGGGCCTCACGGGATGAAATTTTATCAGCATCACTAGGTATTCAGAGGGTGGGAACTTTGGGAAGTGCCCAGGTTTGGATAAAATCAGTCAGCCGGCTGGAGCCCCCCTGAGTCAGACACTGACATACCCACTGCCCATCTCTTGCCATGTCCTGCCCTGGGTCATCCAGGGACCCTGTCAACAGGCAAGCAAAGAGACATCACACCTCCAGAACCCTGGGGCAGGATCAACTTGGGAACAACCATGGAAACAAGAAAAGTCCTCCCTGGCAAGCGCAGAATTCTTGCCATGTCCTTGGGCACCCTTGAGGTTTTCTTTTTGTTATTCATTTGCTCGTTTCCTTGAAAGGCAGCTGAGGTGGAAGAGACACAGAGAGATCTTCCCTCTGCTGCTTCACCCCCAAGTGACTGCAGCAGCTGGAGCAGAGCCAGGTTGAAGCCTGGAACCGGGCACTCCATCCGGGCCTCCTGCCTGAGCGATTGCGCCATCTGCTGCCGTCCCAGGTGTATTACCAGCTAGCCGCCAGGACCTGATCAGGCAGTACATGGGATGTGCGCATTGCAGAAGGTGGCCCAACCTGCTGTGTCACAAGACGGGTCTCACACCTGAGGTTCCTCCCAGGTTCTCATTTCCTTGGGGACTGGGGGCTGTCCCTGCCGTTCACAGCCCCAGGCAGGAGCCTGCCCCACACCCTTACCCTGCCTTCAAAATCCCTCCCTCTGTTCTCTTGCCATCACAAGCTCTTCAAGTTGGAATGAGTGTGCCCATGCTGCAGATGGAGAAACTGACGAATGTAAACCCACGGCGGCTATGAGAGGCCAAGGCCATCCTTTCCAGTGGCAGAAGCTAGGAGGAAATAAAAAGCAAAGCAAGAAGAAGGTTATCTAGGGAGGGCCAGAGAGAGAGAGAAATTCCCTTGGCACTTCCAAGTGGCAGCTGGACATCGAAGTCTCTTTTACGATGTGTTGCTGGAGCTGCACTCGTGGGTGTGGGAGACGGGAAGGAGGTGGCAGCTGCTGATGTTTCCAGGGCAGGAGCCCAGTGCTAGCCTCAGCCTGGCACTGCCCAGGTGCCCCTGCCCAGGCCTCAGACCACAGCCTAGCCTCACCAGGGCCCTCCCAGCACATCCCAAAGCTAACTGCTGTCTTGGCTTCCAAAGTCTATTGCACCCGGAACCTCACAGAGCTTGTGTACACAATAATGCCTGGCAGTGGCACCAGGCTCTTGATGTCCATATAGGAGTCTAGAATGTTCTGAAGCAGTGAAATTTGAGACCCACTGATCTGCAGAACTTTTAAAAGTTCTGCTTTATTTTATTTATTTAAAAAGCAGAGTTATAGAAAGAGGGGGAGAGACGCTCCATCTGCTGCTTCATCCCCAGAGGTCCACGTTGGCCCAGCAGTACGCCAGGCCAAAGAGGGGAATCAGGAGCTTCTTCCAGGTCGCCCACATAAGTGCAGGGGCCCAAGCCCTTGGGGTTCAGCTAGGGCTGGGACTGGCACCCTCTGGCATTGCAGGCAGCAGCTTTGCCCACCACGCCACAACACTGACCTATGGAATTTATTACAATGCAGGATACTGACTCTGGCTGGGTATGTCTGGCTGCAGGTTTCCCAGGCTGGAGCCCAGGGCCTTCAGTTTGACCTGTGACCCTTTGGGGGTCTTCTGGGCATGGCTACCACTGTCTTGCATGTTGGGCTGTGGAAGGGGAGGGGGGAGTTGCAACACAGAGAAAGGCAGAGCTCTCCCACCCGTTGGTTCATTGCCCAAATGTCCTGGAGCCAGAAACTCCATCCAGCTCTCGTATGTGCAGGGCTGGAAGCCAGCCACATGAGGCTTCACGTGCTGCCCCCCTCCCCAGACATGTGTTAGCAGCAAGCGGGAACTGTGAGCGGAGCCAGGACTCACCCCAGACTGGCGTGTGGGTGTCGCAGTGGCCAGTGTGCCCTTACGCCCATGTCAGCCCTCTTGGCTTCTGCACCCATACATCGCCCACATACACCCCAACTCCCTCTCACTGTGCAGTTCACACATCCCTGCAGCCACCTGGGGTGGGGCCTCATTCGTCGAGTAGATTGCATGCAGCCGCTGTAGTGAAGTTTTTACCCTGGACACTTCAGACTGAAGCGCGGGGCAGAAAGCAGATAGGCAATGGAGCGGCCCCCATCCCCACAGCCCCGCTCTCAGGAAGGGCGTTGCCAGGCAGGGCGGCAGCGAGTCGATGCCCCGGCCAGGCTGATGGGGCTTTTCCAGTGAGCGGCTAATAAGGGCTTCGTAGTGCATCGCTCCCAGCAAGGCCTTGGGGGGCAGCGAGGCCTGGGAATCATGCTGCAGTCACCTAACTAGAGCTGACAGGTGTGAGAGCAGGGGTGGGTGGGCTGGCCAGGGGCTCCCCGGGGCACCGAGTCAGCCGGTGATGGGGAGGTGCGCATGTGCGGTCACTGACGAGCAGGGCAGAGGATGGATGGGCGGACAGCACATGCCTCTGCAGCGGGGGACCCTGGGACGCCCCAAGTCCCTGTTCCCTGCCAGCAGTCAGCCTGCTTCCCTGGCTGGAAAGGGGCAGAGATGATGGCCACTGCCCCCTCGCAGCCCCAGGGAGTAGCTCCTAGGGTCCTCTCCCCATTTCAGAGATGAGGAGACAGAGGCCCGAGGAGCGGCCTTACCCTGCAGGGCCCTCACATGTCACCTCTGTACTCCCTCTGTCATTCCCATCCACTCATTCCTGCAGCTGAGCCTGGAGAGTGGCCTGTACTCCGACACTCCACAAGGGGGCAGAGTGGAGGCCGGCCCAGGTGGGCGGGCTGCCTGGTATCTCAGCAAAGCAAGGCTCTGCAGCAGGAAACCCCGACTTCACCAGGGTCAGCGGTTGTCCACTCCGCCCTCTGCTCGCACAGTCCACTCCCCAGACTGCGGAGAGAACCGTCACTCCCACAGGTGCTCCCAGCGCACCGTGATGTGCCAGTGTGGACAGTGACATCAAGCCAAGCGAGGAACAAACACGAACAAGGTGGGTGGTGGCATGTGCAAAGGCCCAGAGGCCCGGGAGGACAGGTGGCTGAGGTGGAGCAGAGGCGAAAGAACAGGGCCTGCATGGTGCTTTAGGGGAAGAGGCAGCTGCACCTGGGAGAGTTCAAGGAACAGCTTCCTGGAGAACCTGATGGGGCTGCCCAAGACTCCAAGGACTGCCTGCACAGGGAGGGTGGGAGCAGAGCAGGTGTGCGCCCACCAGCACGTGGGGGAAGAAATGCACTCCTGGGCAGGAGTGGCTGCTGGAAGGCAGCCAAGAGGCTGCTGGCTCTTCCGTGTGAGCCCGAGGTTGGGGCCTGAGGGGCAGGGAGGCGTGTCCAGAGGCCCATCCCACAACCCCCTCCCTAGATAGGCAGTGGTCTCTGGTCCCCCGGCAACCGTCATGCTCCTTGCGGTCAGTGATGGACGCTGGCCTCCAGCAGGAAGCCGGCTAAGGAGGAAATGAGCTTGCCTCAAGTCACCCAGCAGAGAGCTCTTACCCCTTCTAGACCCCTGAGCTGTCACAATCCCTGTTCCCCACGCTTGGAGCTTCCCTGCCCCCAGTGCAGCCCTGGGCAGACTCAGACACAGCCCTGTCCTGCAGTCTCAGCCGCAGTGCAGGATTCCTGCAGGGGCCCCAACTGTTACTCCCCGCCCCCATCCGCAGATCCTGTCCCAGGCCCCAGGCTGGAGGTCTCGGCCTGGGCGGGCCCAGATGCTATCACAGGCCCTGGAATGTTCCTCAGGCATGCTTTGAGAGGCCTGCTCCTTCTTGCTGCCCTGTCTGGCCTCCCTGCTTTCTCTCTCAGCAGAAGGAAGGACTACCGCATGCACACTGCGGGGCTGCTGGAGTGTCCCTGGGTGCTGGCTGTTGCATTTCAGGTCCCAGGAGCTGTGAGGGTGCTTAGGACCCAGGCATCTGGGTCTTCCCAAGTGTGGTGTAGGGCTGGAACTTGTGCTCACCGTGTCCCGTGGCCCTCTGCATTTCTCCTCCTCCGTCATAGCAGGTAAAGCCACTGCTGGCCACCGGTTTGAGCTGCTCTGCTTGCAATCCTGCTAATGGACTGGGCCAAGCAGCAGAGGGTGGCCTGGTGGGAGAGCGGGTGAAGCTCCTGGCTCCTGGATTGAGCCTGGCCATTGTATATGTCCAGGGAATGAACCAGCACATCAAAGATCTCTCTGTCTCCTTGATGTTCAGATAGATATCTTTAAGAAGAAGGAGGAAGAGGTGTCTTTACACTCTGCCTGCTGAGGGCACAGCAGACTGCCCATCAGCACGGCTCTGGAAGCTGCAGGGGGTCCAGCCAGCAGGAATGCTGCGTCCACAGGACCAGGATCACCACAAACACCACAGCCAGCCTCCAGGGACCCTGTCACCCAGCAGGGCTTGTCAGACAGGCGGCTCCTCAGCAGGCGTTATCAATACCATCATCACCACCATCAGTCACCATTGCCATCATGTTCATCATCATCAACAATATCATCATATTTATCACCACCACCACCACCACCATCACCTCTTCCTCCCCCTCAATAACCCAGAGTGTTCACAGGCTCTCCTCTAGATGGTTAGAATGAGGACATCTGGGGACTCTTTGGAAGATGTCCCAGCACTTCTTGCCAAGATAGGTGCCCCCAATCAGCCAGTTCACTGATGAGCCTGCCTCAACCGGCTCTTAGCCTGGGGTCTGCTCTCTCCTGGGACTTTGACTGCAGCTAATTCTTCCACCTGAATTGGAATTCCCTCTCCCTGCCTGTGATGGGCTCATGGGGGCTGGGCCCCTTTGGGGTGCAAAGGGCAGACTATGCCACTTCCTTCCTTCCCTGCTTGCGGCAAGCACAGGGGGTTGGCGTGAACTCTTGCTCTCACAGCACAGTGCAGGCTCAGGGTATTGTCCCTGTATTACCAGATTCCCAGGGATGCTGTGTCTTCCGAGGCCACAGAAGGAATGCCGCATCTAACATCCTAAGAAGCAGGTGAAGTTTCATCTAATGATGTATTTTGTTTACCGGATGTGTACTCAGCATGGAGTCAATGCAAGGAGGACACGGGGCCTTGGCAAGGGCACCAAGCCTGACTGCTGAGCCTTTCCCTCAGTGCCGCGCAGCTGGGACCCGCCATACTGCAGGGACTCAGCTGCCACGGCGCTGCCTGCCTTCCCAGGGAGTGCGGAATGGATCCAGGGGGTGGGCTTAGGACACTGTGTCCAGAACAGAGAGCTGGGCCCATGCTAGCTCCCATCACCACCCTCATTGCTGGGACCTATGCTGACTCGAGGCTGACACACATCACCAGGGACCCTCCCTCCTGCCCTGGCTGGCATGGCATTCTTCCTGGCTGTCCCAGAATCCTGGGTCCATGTCCGCTCCCTCTCCCTGCTCTGGCTTCAGAGCCACAGCAGGTGGATTGGCCCCTGGCTGTGCGAGGGGAGGTGGAGGAGGTTCCTGGAGCCATCTCATGGGGCTGGGTACTTCGCTGACCTGGGCAGAGCCTTCTCTGCCACCTGGGAGGGGCTGAAGAGCCAGAGGTACCCAGCCCGAGAGACTGCGCTGTCTCACAGATCCGAGGACCTCTGTTGTGCCCACTGCTGCTGCCATGCCACAAAGCCTGCTGCCCACTGGGTACACCCCTGTCAGTGCTGTCTGGGACAAGCATCCCAGCTGTGCTGAGGGCAGAAGGGAGGCATGTGGGCCTGGGTGGGCCTGCAAAAACACACCTCCCTCCCAACTCCAAACTGCAAATGGGAGGTGTAACAGAGGTGCGTGCTGTACTGTCTCCAGTTTGGGAAGAGGCTGCTCTGCCACATGCCCGAGTTGCGTAGTTCGTCTGTGCACACTCAGACACAGAACCCGCGCACGCTCACATACACACAGGCTACTGCACATTCCCATGCACCCCGACAGGACCTGAAGGCCTTGGGCACATCTGGCTCCAGGCATCCCCAGGACTGACATCTGTGCACCTGTGCTTGCTCCGTGAGGTCTTTCAGTGCCCTCCGCTGCTGGGAGAGCAGTCAGGAAGACCTGAGGTCCCCAGCAGCGGAGGGACACGTGGAGACAACCCAGCAGCATCAGGCTGGCATTGCAGCCTTCCCAGCCTGGTGACACTGCCCTCTGCCCTTCGTTCCCAAGCCTGGGTGGACACTACCTGCCCGCGATCCTGCAGGTTCTGTCGGGCAGGGACGGGAACTTCTCACTTCTGCACAAGTACTGAGACCATGGAGGAAGGAGGCTGGAGTGCAGGAAGGGAGACCCAAGGTCAGACGTGCACTCCAGGCCAGCACTGGCCCTCAGGGTTTGCAGCTACCAAGGGGGAAATTATATCTGCTTTGGGACTTTTCCGGGGTGTTTAAGATGTCTGCATGCGTGCTGGGTGGATTGAGGTAGGACCTGACACAAACCTAGAATGTTCGGCATGGAGCTCGGCAGTGCTCTGCACACAGTGGGCGCTCAGAAAATGAAAGAGGAAGAAAGAGGGGGAAAAATCCAGGTGTGTCTGTGACGTGCCTTTATCACAGAGCCAATTCCCCAGTCCCCAGTTGCCCCTTGGTCTCTGGTTTCTCTGCCTGCCCCTCTGGCCGCTGCCTCACAGACTCTTCCTGAGCGGGAGGCAAGTCTCCCAGAAGTCAGCCTCCCCCAGGCTGGAAGTCAGCTTGGCGCTCCCACAGCCAGTCTCCAGCATCCATAGGAACGTGTGCACTCATTTTTTCCATTAGCATCCCGCCCGCCGGGACCCTGTTGGATGCCCTTTCCATATAAACCGGGGCGGGCGCTGTGTATGGAAATTTCACAAGAAAGCGAGGCTCTGCTGGTTGGACCCAGGCTTGGTGTCCCTGTGGGGTGCCTAGCCTCAGCCCTGCCAGCTGAGAGCGCCCCCTCCCGGAACTCCAGTGCCTGGTCTGCGTCCTAGGGGCCCTCAGTGTCATCAAAAAGCAGCGGCTGCTCCCGGGGTGGGGTGGGGGTATCCAGGCTGCCTCCTCCTCCTGGAAGTAGCAGACCTGCCTGGCTCACTATGGAGGCTGGGAGTCCTCAGGCTTAGTTCTGAATGTCCCAACCGCAGCATCTGTGAACAGGGCTCTCAGATCCCAAGGCTAGCATCTCCCGCCATCTCCCATCTGGCAGCAGGCACTGGCAGAGGCTGTGGGCACCCGCTGCCTGTCCTGCGCCTGCCTCCCCCTGCCCTCGCTGCCACGCCACTGCCTCCTGCAGCAGCCTAGCTCTGTGCTGCCACGTGTCCAGCTTCCTGGCTTCTGGGAGATGCTGACTTCTGTCCC